CGTAAATCTTATCCCAGAATACAATACACATCATAGAAAATAAGGGGGGGTATAAGAATCAGCCCAGTAGCTTCAAGTTCTCTATAGAGTGTTGCATCAGTGGTAGTAGCATCAAGCAGCAGCACTCGCATGTAGCAACAGCAGAAATGAAACCAGCAGCAGAAGCACGAAGCTCCAAAGAAGAAGAAAACAATAAGCTCTGAAACATTGTGCTACGAATGTAACGCAAGATACGAAGAAGAGCAGCCCAATGAGTAGTTCGAGGAGCAGAAACAAACTGACTGACAACATGCACTGCATAAGCAATATCGGGACGAGTAACAGTCCGATAAACCAACCAACTCACGATACAAGGTAGGATCACCCAGAGGAACACCATCAGAAGTTGAATGTTAAACTTTCAACTCAATAGGAGTGGCACGTAGTATCAGTCAACCCAGCACGGTGAATAACCTCATTCGCATACTTGGATTGGGAGAGAAGAAACCAAAGGGGAGAGGAGGCAACTTCAATGCCCAAGAAGTCGCGAAGGGGGCCCAAATCCTTCATTTCAAACTCATGCAAAAGATGGTGTTTGACTTCCATTATACCTGCAGTGTCAGGACCTGTGATAATCATATCATCTACATACAACAAAAGAAGAACCGGTCCACTAGAAGAGTGACGCACAAAAAGAGCAGAATCATGTGCACTAGAAGAAAACCCAATCCTGGTTACTGCAGACTGATAACGTTCATACCAGGCACGAGGAGACTCGCCCATAAAGAGCCCGACGTAAGTGACAAACATGGCCAGATGGGTGAGGAAGCCCAGGAGGAGGACGCATATACACTTCTTCAGTCAGATGCCCATTCAAGAAGGCATTTTTCACATCCATTTGAAACAAAGGCCACTGACGAACAGCTGCAACAGAAATTAAGGTACGAACAGTGGTTATCTTGGCAACAGGAGCAAACGTCTCCTCATAGTCAATACCATACTCCTGAGAAAAATCCTTAGCAACCAACCGCGCTCGCTCAAGAGAACCATCAGAATTGGTTTTAACCTTGACCATTTGCAACCAATAGCATTTTTACCTTTAGGCAAGGGAACAAAATCCCGGGTACCAGTCTTATGAAGAGCAGTCAACTCATCTTGCATTGCAGTTATCCAACTAGAATCAGTACATGCTTCCTTATATGACTGAGTCTCATAAAAGGAGTGAATAGAAGCAAGAAAAGTACGATGAGAAGGAGGAAGGAGCAAAGAGAAAGAAGGCATAGCATAATCAGCAAAGAGCTGCAAAAGCTGTACAAGTGGTCTCAGTCTTCGTCGATGTAGTACAATCAGTTGTTCTTGTAGATCGAGGCTAAGGGCTGATAGGTGTGTCACCTTCCCCTACCCGTCTTTCTAGGCGCAGGCTTCGCGAAATTCCGCTATTCTTTGACTCCCTCCGCTAGTTGTCCGTCCCTCTTGGAAGCTTTCCGGGCTTTCCATTAGCTTTCGAAGCTGTCCTACCAGCATTCCAAGCCGCCTAAGCAGCCTAATCCAAGTCATCCTAGTAGGCCCAATGAGTAATCCCTTGAGTCAGCGCAAAATCCTTTCTTTCTTTGTTCTAGCGCCCGAGCCTTCTTTTTCTTTCTTCCGGTTGGGGAAATGGCTCATTATTATTGATGTGTCAGGTGTCAAACCCTTTTCTTATTCTTTTAGTTCTTGTAGCTGCTTTACCTGTGTGGGACCATCGCCTAGTGTCTTTGCCTATGGTTGATTGGTCTAAGGTTTAAAGTACGAGTATAAGGTCTGTCCCCATGCGCCTATCATCTTAGTCAGCGGCAGTGCCTTTCCTCACGTTCTTTGTTATAGTTCCCCGGTTCGCTCCTGCCCACGGAGCAAGGAATGAGTTTTGTGTTCGAATCAGAGTCAGGTAAGGGCATCGGATCGAGTTTATCTTCTTGCCGGCCTAGCGCCATTGGCTTTTGCTTGACTTCTTGTAATTGTAAGAGCTGACCCAGCAACAAGGGCATAGCAGATCTATCTTTGCTTCATTCATCCTTAGCCTTAGCGCATCAAAGAGCCGCTTTCAGTTAGTGACCGCGTCGCTTTCAGGCTTCTTACACGTATTTTATGTGCCGCTATTCAAGAAGACGGAGAGGCCTAACAAAGGGCCTGATCAACCAAAGACTAAGGAAGAGGCGGTAGATCGAAGGAAGGGCCAATAGAGAAGAAAGAATGTTGAAATGAGAGTTGCATTTAGTAGTGCCGGCGCCTCATCCAAATGAGACTTGGAAAGCGAGATAGGGCTGGGAGGCAGGAAGAAGACTACACGAGTGGTGGTTCGGGAAGGAATCTCTTTGACTTTATGGTGCCATAGCTTCGACTCCATCCCAGTAATAGTAAGAGGAGGGAGCCGCTACTTCATCCTCGGGAGATCGGGATGAGGCAAAAGGGGGCTTTATTAAAGTCCTCTGGGTCGTCCACTAAGTGAGTGAAAGAGGTATGTATCATTGGGAGAATTTTGAAGAGAGAAGGCCCCACTATGTGAAAGAAGAGCTTTTTCTCTCATATTCACTTCTATAGAACATATAGAAGAAGTTCGCTTAGCCGCAGCTGAAGCCATAGATCTTGCCCGGTCCCAAGGTTCATCGGTCGGACTCCTCATTGGAAAAAGAATGGCAAAGGGTGGGATCAGGGAAAAGCTGTTTAAAAAAGAGCGCTTATAAGACAGATATCACGCCATAGGAAAGACATTCTGGCTTTTTGACTTGACTGACTTCTATTCCCTAGCCTTAACGCTGCCATAACCTTTCCCTTAGCTGCCACAAGACGTTCAAGCACTGCGAGTCGTGCTTCTAGCGAGTAAGCACTCCTCTATAAATTAGATGGACTGCACCCACATAGGGAGTCTTACTCGCCGATCGAATTATCTGAGAAGACCAATCTTGAAGCTATTTCCCACAGGAAAGGAAGTTCTCGACTGAAACATGTGTGAACCGTAAACCGATCCCTCTTGATAGACCTACTTACGTCACTCGAGCTTATCTCTGTTTCCGGTTGAGCAAGACAATCCCTTGAAAAGGCGCCCTTTCATTTTTGATAACTCCAGTACTGGGAGAGACTAGCGTAGAGTACTATATTAATAAAATCATTTACGCCTACGCTGGATATTCTTCATTGATCCAGATGTTCGAAAAGTGGCTCCGGCTGATCCTACCCTGTGAGCTAAGGATCTGTACCACTGCTTTTGTCTTGTCTTACCTCGAGTTAAAGCTCTAAAGTTCCACACGGTTCGGATCCACGGGCATAAGCGAAAGAAATAAAAGACCTAGACTAATGGCTCGATAAGCACAACAAAGATCTATCTCTAACCAGCTAGGAGAACTTCCATAAGTTAACACCGAGTGGGTGGGACTTCCAACGTTCGAAAACGAAGGCTAAGAACCTTATTTTGACTTTTATTTTTCTCTATGGGCCGACCTACGCCCAGGTGAAACAAAAGCAGATATATATAGTTTTGAACTAAGGATCTTTAGGTTCGCCTACTTGACTTATGAAAGATAATGAAAAAAAGGCTTTTTCAAAAAGGAAAAGGCTATACTATACAATACATTAGTAGAAGTAAGCGTTAGCTTAGCCTACCCTACTAATGTATTGTATAGTAGGGTGTAGTATAATAGGCGAGCAAGTTAGCGAGCTTAGGCTAATAGATAAGAGAGCGTCGGTGCGTAGCCTTCATTCTACTACGCTACGCAAAGGTTACGAAGTCACTTAGCTCGACGTTAGGAGAGTCAAGGGGCCATACCTACATAGAAGAACCGCTGTTCGCTGCCTTTAGAAGGTCTAACCTTTCGCTCCCCTACTGAAAAGGGTCATTTGAGCTTCGCCCCACTGATAGACTACTTAAGATTCAATTCAAAAGGCCCTACTTAGTTTCGAAAGCCTTTGTCATTGTCAGTCAACTAAGTAGGGCCTGAGGCCCCCTACGAATCCGTAAATCTGAAGAGCATGCCGCAACAAAAGGATGGTCCCCTATGCATTCTTTCCGGAAGGGAAAAAAGAGAGGACCCCCCCATCATGGTGAACCTCTCCTTGTGATCGGGATGAGGTAAATGCCTCCCAGCCGGGGGGCGGATCGAATCGGAGTTTCCTTAGGTATCCACCGACCTACAGTTATCCTTAAACTTCCGTGCTTGGTGGAGAAGAAGCGAACAAAGGTACGCTCGCTTGCTGTCTTGTTCTCTGCCTAAACTGGGATCGCTCGCCAGCTAGGTCAGATTGGAGCAACATTTATTGAGAACATATTACCCATCTTGGGGGACAAGGGGCGGAACGACCTCTCGATCTACTTACTGCAGCCCAGGAATAAAAACGTCCGTCTAGGCCTTCCCTGTTGCTCCGATCCCCCCTACGCCTAGGACGTTGTCTGGGCCAAGAGCCATAGTTAGTTGCTGTTTTCATTTGGTTGTTTTTTTCTCGTTGTTGATACCGGCAAGACCCAGCCAGATGATGTCTACTGGTTGGTAGTGAGAGGACTCTTAGTATCTGCATACCCCAAAGAAAAGGGGACGCTGATTAAAAAACAATCATTTGATTTTCTTTCTTGCTCTCCCTTATAAGCAGGAAAGGAGTCTATCTATCTGCCTAGCTTTGGTAGATTTCCCCCAACGCAATCCACAGAAATTCCACGAATCCCTTGGTGGATAAGTCCGACGACTCAGCAGCAGTTCGGAATTGACTTTCTCGTCTGGTGGATCTGATATAGAGTGAGGGGGCAATACATACCAAAAGGTACCATAAAAGAACTGTGGGCGAGGAAAACACGAACCACAGAGACTCTCAAGCAAAGGAAGAGGGATAGAATAGCGCAACCGCCTTCTGGAGTTCGTCCATAAAGAGATATCCGAGCGATAAGGAAACCTTTGACAGAACAATAAAAAAGAAGAATTTAGCAAAAAAAATGGATCCGTACTCTCTTCGGGACTTTCTTAACAAGAACAAAAAAGATGTAGGAAAATCGCCTCCAAATGAGCCGATCTAAAGCAAGTTCCTTAGTTTCAGGAAGTCGAGCGGGAGTGACTAGCCTTCCTTCAAAGGCCAGATGGGTGCCTTCTGTATCTCGAAAGAGATTAGTAAGGCAAGGTTCGTAGCGCTTACCATTCTTTGTGATTGCTTATTCGAAGTAGGCCGACTTTCAAAAAAGTGGCTAAACCATCCGGCAAAGAGAAGAAACAAGCCCTTCAAATTCGCGAAAAGAGCGTATTCTTTCCCAAGGGCATTCTCGGCATCTTCACTAGTCGCCTTTCTTGCTATCATTATAGCTTTCTACTAAGGTAATTTATAGCTGACTCTTTAGAGTAAGGAAAGAGACAAGAACTCGAAAGGCGAATGCCTATTATATTAGAGTATAGCACAAGCCTTTACTCAGTCAGTAGGTGGGAAGTTGTTCTTTCAGTCTTATCCGAGCTGGGGCGTCGCATCAAAGAACCTTTCTTTTTTCTGTAGAATTTTCAGCTGTTGGCAAGGAGCTACTCTTTCCCTCCACTCCGGGCTGGCAAGCTTATATCTCTCGATAGCTGCGTCGGATCTTTCCTGAAAGCTGAGGAAGGTGCGAAGCGAACTCATTTCGTCGCCAGGGTGCGTAAGCCTTCTGATCCTACTTTGTCGTTTAGATTATGCCAATAAAAAGAAGGGGAAAAGGCTCAACTGGCAGGATTGAACTCTCACTTAAGAGGGAAAAGTGATTGCCCGACGCATTGAAGATAATCGGCTGGCTTTTTGGAAGAGAAGTGGGCAATTCCGCTGTTAGACTTGCCGCTAAAATAAGCTCTTCCAGAAAGAGTAGCAGCTGCAAGAGCTCTCGTCAGCTTTTCGGGATTAACCTGATTGACCTAATCAACCCAATATAATATGTCCATTTTGAAAGAATAAGGGCTTAGAGCCTAAATATAACTAGTCAATCCATAACTGAAAGCAGGAATGGGAATTTATCCATGTCAACAGTAATCACTAGGTAAATGACTTACTTGAAGAGGCATATGAACCCGAATGGGATTGATGGACAGATTCCCTTGCAAAGAAGGTTGACTCTTCAACCAGTCTCCTATCCTTTGAAAAGGCCCGCAGCCCGGGGGTAATATATATATAGTAGCTAGGGATGAGACTTTCCTTTAATAGAAGGAATTTTCTCTTTCTCAGACAAGGAAGGGCTACGACGTTGAATTGAGCTCGGGCTTTCCAATGCCTAAGATAAAAAGAAGGACGGGAAAGGAAGACGCAGGGTAGAGCAAATCTTCCTCCTCTATGGGGGAAAGTCTATTCAAGTCCTTTCGTATGGACATTTCGTTTAGTACGAGATCGCTTCACACCTCTAGGTGATCTTGTAGACAACCTGTGTAACCTACTTTTTAAAGACTTTCTGAAGCTACTCAACGAAGGTGTAGCGCTTAGGTTTAGGTCGGCTAAGCAAATCAGTTTTGCGAAGTAGGACATCCTATCCCTTACGTGGTGAGGCACTAGTTTCAAAAGAATCTCCTATTGCTATTGGTTCTTATGTATGGGTTCTCTGTTATGGTATAAGTGCTGTAAGTAAGGTATGAACGATCGTATAGTGCTGCTGAACTCTAATCGTAATCCCTTACTGTTGGATTTCTTTCCTCTAAGCTTCTCTGAGGAGTGGCGGTTTTCGTTAATCTAAGAGGTTTTGTAGCAATCCCTTTGAGGGTGGTATCCATGCATGCATCCTACTGAGGTAAATTGGGAATCGCTGAAATGGGAAAGGTTCAGTCTTCCTCCGTAACGGTAGCAAGTGAAGCTACTGGAAAGCAAGTCGTGCCCCAGTCGAGAATCTCTCGAAGATCGTCTATTCCCCTAAGAGCGAGCTACTCCCGAGATGTCATGAGCTTGTTCGGATGTCGTCGAATCTTCTTATCATCTCAGCTGGTCATTCAATGGGAATTTCGAGATTAATATTAAGATTAAAGATACGCCCGAATCGAAAGAAAAGACCAGGGGCGAATGCCTTACTAATACAAAATGACTGTATCGAGCCGACAGATAGCAGATGTGGCATTTCTTTCTTCAAGAGCCACTTTTTCTGATTCACAAGCCCTTCTTTCAAAAGGCATTTGCGCAAGGCGCATTCTCGACATCCAATCTCTACCGATCCCATCTTCTACTCCTTTGGTCATACCGGTTCCTCCACCAATTGTTATCCCAGCTGAGCCTGCATTATTGCTCAACAACCTCAGTAGATTATGCGGATTAAGCCATTATATTATTAAGCCGTCTAAGTCAAGCCCATCTAAGCCAGCCAGTGATCCATAGACAGTAGATCCATAGGCCTTTGTCCGATCGCTTTCGTTCATCAGAAGTAGTGGACAAGGAGAGAACTCAGCATCGTGCATGCAATTCCATCGATCTGGTCAATTCATTTCCGCGAGACGCTGCTCCACTCTTTTGCTTTGGCATTGCCATACGAGGGAGATCGCTCAGTTACATGTCAAAAGATATGGAATTTCCGACCATCAGATTGAAATACGGGAATTTAGACCGAAAGATATCCATGTCAGTTAAAGATGTCTCTTTTTTGAGTGATAGGAACAGAGCTTCGGGCAAGCAGCTTAGCCAAGGCAGTAGCGTTGTAGTTCTTCCACGGCATGCTCATAGAAAGACTTCCTCCATGGCATAGCTCAGTCATTCAATCATGGTAGGGTCAGTCAGACAGGATTCTTCTCCTAAGCGCAGATGTAGCTCCCCATGGTGTGTTTATTCTAGCTCTGATTAGTTCCTCTTTCGAGGCTCCAACCATTTTCGGATCTCCTTAATTTCGAGCTTGGCGCTAGTCCCTTCAAAGGTGCCAGTGGGGATCTTTTCGGCCACTTCAAAAAATTCCTTGTAAACTTGTTTAGCCATCTCCTGTTTGAAGTGCTCCTTGAAAGGCTTTCTTGGTGTGCTCTCGGACCTACCGACCACCCTGATGCCTTCATTCCCATTTATGATCACTGGTAACGGCTCCCTTCGCCGCTCCTCTATTAGATCATATTCTAATTCCCGCACCCTTAGGGTCAATTTCTGCTCCTTAAGCTTGGTTTTCACAAATTCACCCGCAAGTGGCGTCACGAGTTGGATTCGAACCAACACCTCTGAGAAGCCTGATATTATATGCTCCCAGCGAACTACCTTTTCTTTTCTTTGATTCGAATCGCAACTTTGGTAACCCGGTTCGTCGCGCGACATAGAAAGAAAGACTAAGCGACTACATCCGGGGGATTTCTCATCTATCTTTTTTCACTCACTTCTTTTTCGGCCAATTCTACCTTGCGAACTTGTTGATCATATAACTGAGAGGGAACGTGTCACATTAGAGGTGAACGATCAGAGATGTCCTATAATCACCACGATGAGGCTGGTCCCTCTTTTAGTAGACTCAGCTATGAATATGAATGAAGAAATGAATGCCGGCTCTTTCTGCTAACCCCAAGAAGTTTCTTAATGCTGATACTTTCTGTTTCGTCGAGCCCCATGTGGTCCTCCTTTGATTGTGGGTTCAATTGGATAAATCCGTCAAGTCAAGGTCAACGTACGTAGCAGCAAGGATGGTGCATCGCCTATTTCTCGTTCTCGCTCGGGAGCCAAAACGAACACGCCTGATACCTACTGTACTGGACCTTCGACCAGGCATTCTACCCTTGTCGAATCGGAACCAACCACCACTGCATTACGCTCGAACAGTTGAGCGGCCGCCGGCCGGCAGCTTCCGTACACAGATATAGATTCATTCTTCGTACCTGATCCAACCTCCCAACCCTTCGCGGGTTGGTCAGGGAATCGAGTCTTCGTTTGGTAAGACGGAATTGGACAAAGAAAAGAGAGTGCTCGACCGGAACAACGGCCAACAAAACAAAGACCGTAATTACATAGATAACCGCTCCTCCCCTTCTCCGTCTTTAATTTAAGGCGAACCGTATGGCGGCGAAAGACGACCTCACCTTCTCGTAGATGGTGTCAGTGAGAGCAACTTGAGTATCCCCCGTTGACCTTCTTTTGTAGATAGAATCCTCAATGAGTGGAAACAAGCAGCCTTTCTTATCTTAGTAAGGTGCTTGTTGAGTAAGGCCGGCTTTAGAGCCCAAGCCCCTTATGATGAGAAGAAGAGGGGCCGCCCTCCCGCACCAATCCGTATTTACTACTACATCTTTTTTAGGGTGTATAGCTCAGTTGGTAGAGCATTGGGCTTTTAACCTAATGGTCGCAGGTTCAAGTCCTGTTATACCCAACCCTACCTTACACTATACTACTACTGGATATCGATCTAAGATCAAACTTTCTTTTGAAGTGGAACAAAGGATTGTGTGACAGATTGGCTTGGGATAAGAGAAATTGCATGTACAATTTCTCTTATGTGAGCACTCTTCGTAAAGAGAGGCCTTTGCGGATTGAGGGATAGAGTTCTGGGAAAGGAAAGCAGTCATATCCACTGTGATAAGAAAGCATTTTGACTCCCTTCTGGCGGAAAGCCCTTTCCAGATGGAAGTCCATGGAACGTTCAGAATGTGGCTCGACTAAAAGGTTTACGGAGATGCGTACCCTTTAGGTAGGGGGATTTCTTTCTCTCCTCTTTAGAAAGATAGCTGCCAGACGAAGACAGAAGCAATAGCCTTCGATGTCACATCTGGAGAGCCATAGAAAGAAAATCACACTCGCTCTCTCTAGACCCAACCAAAGCCCTTCACTAAACTCAAAATAGCGTATATTAGAAAGCATCTCATGAGTTGAAAGACTCGTTACAACTTGTGCTTTTGTCAAGGGCAAGGGAAGAACCCGGCTCAAAGAACTCTCTTGAGGAAGTGACTTCGCTCACTGAAGACCAAGCAGCCATTCTGGATTAAAGGACACAAGCCTGCTATTCACTCGCTTTCAAGTTTCAAGTCGGATCTTGCCGGGTTTCACTCCTACATTAAAGAAAGAGAAGGGGGAAGGGCTTTCTTCAGTATTGATTGCAGAAGGGAGCTTACTCCGCTTAGAGAGACTGGAGGGAAAGTCCTCGCCCTAGATTCTGGGAGTAAAAAAGCATCCTACAATAGACGATAGATAGCAAGAAGAGAGGAACGAAGCCGAGTTCGAAGGGGAGATTGAGTTGAACCTAAATCCTTGGATTGCCCATGTGTCTATGAAGAGGAGCTTTTAAGCTAAGCCACTTCTTTCGCCTTTAGCTTGACAGTAGGAATGTGATCTTTGCAATTGAATCAGAGTAAGCTGTTCTCGAATAAGCTCTTAGCCTTGAGGTTTGGATTGCAGCAGCTCTAATAGTCGACGAAATTTTGAAGGTTTAAAAGAATTTCATCCAAGCCATAATAGCAAACGGAGATGAATTTAGTCACATTGATGGGAGAGCGAAAGTGGGAGTCCTCTCTCACTTAATCAATAATGCCCAGGGCCAAGCACTTAATGGCTAGCGGTCAAGCAAGCAGGGTCTTAGCGCCCGGCTAATCGAGTGCCTTTACTTTACTAGTTTTCTGCTTTCTTACTAGAGATGAATGTGAAACCTCTTCTGGTCTGGCATATGCCTCTTCTTATACATACTATTGGATTAACTGGCATAAATTCAATTTCCTTTCCTAAGTGACATGAAGGGGAAGAGAGCATAGCAATAGGACTAAGAGAAGGCCAATCCCCTGCTGTTGGAAGGTTTGCGGGAAGAATTGGACAAGATGTGAAAGTTACTCTTCGAGAATGCCTTACTTCATCCGCAGCAAGAGAAGTTGCTCTTTTCGTCTTATCCGCTGTTCTCTTATTCTTAGACTAGCTGCTTTCTGCCGGTAGTGCAACTTTCTTCTGTTCTTTCTTTGCAGGAGGAAGAGAAGAGAGAGAGGTCCCAAGAAGACCAAGTTCATGCTATCAGCCATAAAGCTAAGAAAGGCTTTCAGAAAAAATGCCCACATTAGTACACTTGGTTGACCTTCTTCGTTCTACCACTTCAGGTCCCAATCTTTGTGATGTCCCTTAGTTAGCTGGGCATACCATTCTCATGTTCCCGAAAGATGGCATATTAAGTGATATGCTTAACACATCTTGGACTCTGCTTTCTAGATTGATCTTTAGCTTCAAGACCCGATCCTTTCTCCTGTTCCTGAAACCGAATTAGTGTCTTTTGATTAGCTGTCACATTCGGTCAAATGGCACATTCGGAAGGTGTGAAATTGGCCAGTGTGAAGTTTCCCTTTGGTGAGGTGATATCGATTGCTTGAGTAATGGTAAGCGGGCTAGTCCCCAAAAATGCTCGTTCCTTTGTTGTTGGGGCTTACAATTCGCCTTGGGACTCGCGGTCGAGCGTTCTTCGGCTTCGGACGTCGATCAATCTATCACTCAATCCCTCCGTTCGGTCTGGCTAGTATCCTTCGCTCGCCTTCAACCTTAAAGTAGGCACAGCGTACGACTTCGGTATGATGTCCTTCCAACGTGGACTCACGTAGAACATCGCGCCACCATACAAACATAGTATATAGGATAAATATGAGGCCCAAACTGAGAAGTGTTGCACCCCCTTGAAATGAGTGCATGTACATCACACCTCCAACGGTGGTTGCCAAAGCTCCGAGTGAACCCGAAATAGGCCATGGACTTGGATCTACCAAATGATAAGAATGCCTCTGAGATTCAATCATAAACAACTTTGCGTCGGTTGTATTATGTAAACCTCCCCTTCACCCCTACCTCCTAACGTGGTAAAGAAGGGCTCTTTGGGGTCTAATTTTCTTTATATCTGACAGGACAAACAAATAGGAAGGGATAGTTCTTTCATTGCATTGATAGAAGTCTAACAAGATCTCTCTATTACTTTGACTTTGAGAAGAGAATCGTTGGTTTAACCGACGAACTACGTGGGAAAATGGATCTTCTTTCTTTGATTTTCAGAAAGCATTTTTGGAAAGTAAGAATTCCATTCAGTTCGGTTTTGGAAAACTTGCTGGTCGCGGATTAGTGCGTTCTGCGCCGTCGGCGGCGGCGCAGGTTGATCTCTCTGGTTGAGGCTGCATTTCTTTATGAAACTTGACACGTGGGAAGAGCTTACTCTCCTAGTGGCTCGGCTTGGTCTCGCTCCCTTCCCGAACTATTGCTCCCCACTAAAAAAAAAGAGCGATTGATAAGATAATTTCGAAAAACTTTATGAACATCCGTCTTCGCGGGGCGATTTGAAAAAGAGTATATCTTTCTTGTAGTGCTTTCCATTCCACTATTCTGATCGAGAAAGAATCTCTTCCGAACGACCATAATGAGATTAAAAAACGATGCTTCCTTGGCCGTGTAGAACATGGATTAGCATTATGTCATTCCTACAAGTGATCCCCCATCCAGGATTAAATCCTGTGCCCTTTGAGGACTTCGAGATAAAATAGAATATGTTTCTTTCCATTCCTCGGGAGCCACTTATTTCTCCGAAACAAGAGATCAAAGTTCTTTTTTTCCCAAGAAGTCGACAGCCTTACACCATTGGGATACTTCGAATAAACTAGAGTACATATAGGATACACCGGTGCTAAAACCTTTTCTCAAGATATCTTCCAAACTGTTAGGGTCCTTGCTCCGGATCTTCTTTCTCCGTTGTGAAAGGAGTTGGTTCCGTAGTTTTAGAATTCTGCTGATCCCAAGTACTCCATCTCCATCATTGCATATAAAAATATAGAAAGTAAAGAAGAAAAGGCATAACCAGAAGAATTGTGTAAAATAAGTAAATTTATCCAGTTGAGGCATGCGAAAAAAGAAAGACTAAAAATAAGAAAGTTATTAATGACTGGACAAAACCAAGAAATAACCCCTCACGTGCGAAATTATAGAAGATCCCCTTTAAGATCAAACAATTCCATCGAATTGAGTATGATTGTATGTGTGATAGCACCGTCGAGGTCGAGTCGAGTTCGGGACCTAAAAGATCGAATGGAAGAAGACATAGACAAGTAAATCCCTCGAATTCCCAGTATCTTGGAATTCATCATTCGAAGGGAAGTAGACTACTCAAGAATTTCGCATTGCATTTAGGTCGTAATTGTGATAATTGAATAAAGAATTCAGAAATTCTAAAAAAAAACGGAAAAGAAGAATGAATCAATGAAATGTTGCTTGGTCTTCATTGGGAACTTGAGTAAGGAGTGGCTCCTTTTTGGGTTTTATCCATTTTGAAAGCAGGAACCCTTTATTTTATCTTTATTTGGTGTAACTACTTGAGCCGGATGAAAAGAAACTTTCACGTCCGATTTTGAAGGGGGAGATCCTATAGGATCCTATCCCAATTTTTCTTTTGCTAGGCCCATAGTCAAAAAACCTACTTTCTTACGATTACGAGGTTTATTCGAATATGAAATACAATCTTGGAAATACAGTATTCCGCTTTTTTTTACTACCCAAGGGTTCGATACATTTCGAAATCGAGAAATTTCTACTGGAGCCGGTGCTATCCGAGAACTATTAGCCGATCTGGATTTGCGAATTATTCTAGATTATTCGTCGGTAGAATGGAAAGAATTAGGGGAAGAAGGACCCTGAATGGGAAGATCGAAAAGTTGGAAGAAGAAAGTGGCACTCTTTTTATGTCACTTAGGAAGGGAAAATGCATTTAGACGAAAAACACGCTGTTTTCTAAAGTTGTCCGATTTCAATTGACGTCTAGGAAGGGAAATTGACTTGATACCAAAATCACGGGGAAAACGCTCCAATGTCACCATTGAAGTCTCACTTAGGAGGGAAATCGGATTGCAAGCAAAAATCCCGAGAAAATGAAAGATTAGTCAGATCAGGGGGAAGCTGGTGCTATAGCCGTTGTTCAAGAATGGCTTTTGTTCAATCAGACGCTCTTGCTTAAAAAGCTCTAGTAACCGGTGCTTCCTATTGATGCGACGGTAACTCGAGATAGAATCTCTACGCCCTGAAGAATTCCTACCAGCGGGCTTCCCTGTACTCAAAGTGAATTGTCTCAGCAAATGTTGGCCCTGCTAACTCTTATGATGATTCAATTGCTTACACCGGCTACTGGTTGAGCTGCTACGAAAGCAGTTACCTTTCTTACAGCAGGGCAGATGATTTCACAGTTAGCAAATCTTTCTTCTGAACTCTCACAAAAGAGCTTATTCTCTTCCGAAACACCGGATACGGTTAGATCTAATTCTAGCACAACCTCTTCTGTAAGAACCCATTCTTCTTAAACTTCAAAAAGACTTGCAGCGCCCACAGCTGATGATTTATTTCCTTCAAACCTTCCACCAGGAGCGGATTAGGATGCAACTTCTCTTTTCTATTCTTTGGCAGAGCCCCAGGAATGCTTGCTGTCAGCAGTTAAGGGACAAAGGGAAGGTGACGAAGGTAATCCTACTACGGCACTAAGACTAATTCAGTCTATTTGGCGACTATTCCTACTGCTACTACTACAGTTACTGCAGTAAGGAAGGAATTCGGAAACAAGCTTGCTATTGGGAACCCCAGATTCCCCGCATCTAAGCCCGGAAAGGCCGACATTGATTCCTTGCACGAAGAAGCTCTAGGACTTCGATACCTTTCCACTTAGTGGACTACTTTCCAAGCGAAAGATACTGATTCAGTTCATATCTACTCGACTCTATATATATTATATATAAACTTTGACTTAATCTTTTTCCCTGGTCTAGCACTACGATCCCTGGACTGCTCTCTTTTCATTCTAGAAGCGGTAGCTTCCCGCCTCTCATAATACCACTCAACATTGCTGAGGATATCACTCGGGCACCTGGACTCAGTTGACGCGCCACACCAGCTCGGGAATGCAAAGGCAATTCAAGCTGCTGCGAAAGATTTCAAAATCCTATGCCCCCCTCCTTTTTCCTCATTAGCAGCTGTAGGTTGTTTTTCTTTTCGCCGGCCCCCCTCACCCTCGGTAAACAAAAGTAAAAAAGTAGCTAGTAGCTAAACTGGATTCAATTGAGTTGCTTTTCAGAGTGAACTAAACTTATAACCAGAAATTGCATAAGAGAAGAAAGAAGAGAAGGGATGTTCGCCTACTTAGCCTACTCCTTCCTCCGGAACCCTGCTGTTCAATCACAAGCTTCAGCTACTCTTCCCGCCTCTCCTTATTGATAAAAAGTTGAAAAATAGACTTCCTACCGCTCTAAGCGAGAAGATAGAAACAAGGTTTTGCCAAGGAAAGCTCCTAAAAAAAAAATCAAATGATTGCCTGGTTTACTAGGATAGGACGCTACAGACAGGACCAATCCTAGTCGAAAACTCTTCTTGACAGATCCGATTGGGTGTTCATGGGTAGCCTGAGCACCGATCCTGATTGACGAATGCTTTCTTGCTGCTCTCCCTATTCTATTATATTATATAACCGTGTTTATTTACCACGCTGCTGTCCCGGAATAGGCGCATCCTTTGCTGCCATAGAGCGAAAGACAAGAGCACAGGACACTGGAAGAGATGGCTAAGCTCAACTTCAAAAGAAAGAAAGAAAATGAGAGGGAAGAAGAATGCAAGCAACGGATATAAGCGTCCTAGCGTAGCGCGAAAGGACTGTACGCGCAAAAAGACTATATAGAAATATGAAAGTGGAATGAAAGTAGTCTACACTGATAGATTATACAACATTTCCACAAGTAAAAGGTTGAGATGAGACGGCTAGTTAAGGTGGAAAGGAGCTCGTTCCCCTGTGTTCTGTCTGCCCAATCCAGTTTCAGAGGTTCAGAAGGCAAAGGCAACTCTCAGACCATTTGAGTTTACAGACTCTGCCGCTTAGGTGACTACGAGATAGAACATGGGTTCACCCGCTCAAAACTACAACTAGACTACCAGTAGAGGAACTTAACGGGCAAGAAGACCTACTAATAGGAAGAAAAGGTGCTATCCCAATAGGTTCCGGATCGGATCGAGCAATAAGTGAAGGAGCTTGACCAATCCCAATGAGGGAAGTAGCTGAAAGAGAAGCGGAAAGGGACATCTTGAACTCAGGGGGAAGGGACCTTAACGACAACAAAAGAAGTGCGTGCATTTCCCGATCAAAGAAGCCCTTGAACTCACCTTCATTCAACAAAGAAACTTCACGCATGAACTCTCCTCGGGATTGGACTCTTTCTGACAGCCCTTTTGCCAGCGTAGCGCATTGATTGGCACATTGAAGTGGGGAATGAAAAAGATAGGAAGTTTGAACAGCATCTTTGAAGCTACATCTCCTCATGTCTTCAACAGTCTTGAGTTCGGGTTAATGGACGGGAAATGAAAGGAGTGTCCAGCCGCTCGACCATAGAGCACTATGAAAGCCTTGTTTCCAGCAAACCAAGAAGCAATCAAGATTCCACGCCAACATACAGGGCTCATAATGCCTATCCTTTGACGTCTGGTTTCAGGAAAAGCGCAAATGAGAGGGCATTGGAGTATACAGAACCTGGGAATCCATCTTCGTTGATGGCTCTACCAGAGTGGGACCATTCTTCATGGCCCGCGGCCTACGTGACTAAGGGGGATCGTGACCCTCGCGTTTCGGGAATATACACCAAAGATGAGATCCTCGAGTTGGCGGCTGCCTGCCGAAAGAAGAAGAGGTCGCCAGGGGAGGGTAGTCAGACGGTCATTCAAGAGCTGGGTCGTTGAGGGCTTGGACTGATTTTGGGATACCATCATCTGAGTCCCTTCCACCCTGTGATTTGCCTTTACAGACGTTACCATTACTAAGAAAAGTAAGTAGGAATTCGTCCCAGATAAAATACTGATCTAGCTCTTTCGCATCGAGGAAAACCCGTATTTCAGATTAGGCGTCCTTTGCTCGAACGAAAGAGGGGGTCTTTGCCGAGTGGAAGGGACCGATGCTAGTAGTTAGATTCAATAAGTCTTAAATAGAAGCCAAATCCAGTTGAGAAGAGACAAGCACGGTGACATCCATCGAAGGGGTCTCGGTCGATAAGCGGCCCAGGTAAAGCCAGATTTCAAAGGTAGAATGTACCAAAACCTGCTTCTTTAGAGAATCAAACTCTTCCTTCGATAGTCAAGTTCCGGCGCTCTCCGAAAGCCCTATCTAAGTCAAACTGCGGTAAGCAGTTCGTTCTACTCGGTTGGCAAAAAGTCTTCCTTCTTTCCGTTTGGTTAGCGGTCAGTAATAACTAGAGCCCACGGCAGGTGCCGCAGACCGTATAGATCGTTTTTGTTCAGTTCGCACCATCAAGCGCTAGTGAAAGTCAGTTTCGGTTAGCGGGACAGCTGGAAGTCGAGGGTGACTTTCAAGCAATAAGTAGGCGCAGTTGGAAAGCGATGCGCTCAAGTCTTTATGGAGAAATAGGTAGTAAAGAAAGTCTTCTTTGCGGTGAGCGGTACGTCTAAGTTCCGGGAGTCGCAGAAAAATTCTTCTTCCGGTAGTGGAGGGCGAGATGTAGGCCTATCGAAAGTGAAGCTACAAAAAGACAATCCGATTCTCGTTATTCAAGCGGTATCCTAAAAGTACTTTCAAGGAAGCCCTTTCATGAAAACCGGACCTGAAGAGACGTAGGCCGAGACTAGAGTCCGAACCTTCACTTTCACCGGAAACCTCGATGTTTAGTGAAGAACAACCAACATGCGAATGCGAGTTTGAAGGTCAAATCCAAAGCCTAGTAGGAAGAGGGCGCTAGGCTAGACAGGGTGTCAAGAGCTTGATAGTCGAATAGGTAGAGAGAATTTCTTGTATAATAGGTACCTACTGACAATCTTCCTTGAGAGCTGGGATAAGTAAGGAATTTCACTCTGGTTGAATCGCTTCTATCCTTGGCTCCTTAGCCCGGTACCGAGGGAGGGCTTTCCGAGACCAATGCTATCAAGAAGTCGCTAGACTAACACTGACTATTATTGCATCGAGAAAGAGTTAACGGATCTCCCCTCAATAACTTCTGTTATTCTTATGATTTTCTGCTGGATTCCGAAAGCCATTCCTCTCTGTCAACGTTCTCTATTGCTATTGTCGCCTTCCAGCCCGCCCTTGGCTGGTCCCTTCTCTAGTAGCCTTGCCTCCAACCTTGAGCAATTCTTGTGTGACTTATGAATGAAAGGCAAGGCTTCCTTCCTTGCTTCAGAAAAGAGAAGAGCGCCAACGGCAACAGCTAATTCCTCTAAATCAATGGCACGTGGGAGCCTTCCTAAAAGATAGAATTTACCTTGTTGCTTTGATTAGGACTTTGCTTCTCTACAGAGATTTCCCGATGTTCTCTCCTCCCTTCTAGTCTAATCTAGTTAGTAGCCCATCCTCCACCATGAGTTCAGAGTCGACAGGAGCGAACAGATAAGAGCTATACCACACACCTGCTGTCTTCTTCCTTCAACCCTGCTGCTTGGAATGGAAGGTCGCAAGAGAAAAGGCACCGATCTGACTTATCTTAGGAAGAAAGCTAGAACTATGAGTGAAGAAAGAAGGGAAGAGAATTCTCTCTTGCCGCTGCTAGTCTCTTGTTAGTAGTAATGTGGGAACTCTTTTGAAAGAAGATTTGGTCTCAATCAAAAAGAGCCTATTTTCAAGTTCCTTGCCTTAGAGTTCGAGTTGCCAGAGCGGAGAGGAATGGCAGAACTCTTGACCTTACGAGACGAGGGCTACGGTTAGCTCATCTGCCTTCTGGCACTCGGTCTTCCAAGACGGAGACTTTAATTTCTTACTTGACGAGGACATCCTAACTAGATTAAAGTTCTTCTCCCAGGGGAAAGGTAAATGCATTATTTTTGAATGAATATCCGATAGCTGTAGCAAAGGAAGAAGGCGTAGAGGCTCTGCCTTATCTGGTCTCCGGAGATGGATCTGACCCTGGCCCTGGCTTAACCACACTACGACTTATTCAGTATCATTTGAAGACTGCTATTGAAGACTGGAAGCGTGTGTGTGTAACCCGTTGTTCTAGGGCCTAGCTCAGTCCTTTCATTTAACATGGACAAGAGCATTTTTGAAAAGCTATCTCCGAGATTGAATTGACTGTCTATCGTTGAACTGACACTTTACGTCAAGCCATTTTCCTAAAAAGAGGGAACTTAATCAACCTCTAAAGGAATGGCCCTGGGACACGAAGAAGAAGGAGAGAGAAAAAGCATACATATAAAGGCAAGCAAGGCGCAGATAAGAGAAGACAAGAAAGAGAATAAGCAAGAAATGCCCTGTTTTAAGGTCTAAAATATCACCGTAACCTCCACCGAGAAAAGGGGGTTTAACAAATGTTGGGCCACAAACGTTTCTTCGTCCTTCTTGACTTCCTTGACAAGCTGCAAGGCGGAGATCACTGCTTTTTAATTCCTTTCTTTGGCTGTCACTGAATTCATCCGGCAATTGATACCGAAAATCGGCCTTTTAAAAAAGCATCCTTTGATCCAGCTTTCTCTGCTTTAGGGTAAATAACAGCAAAACTGTCCCATGCCACACGGGCAGAAAAATGAAATGGCAACTAGACTAGTTAGTAATTTCGTACTTCTGTCGTTGGGGAGCGGAAATGGCACTTTACAGCAAGAAGAAAGAACAACGAAAGTCGAAGATAGGCTTGTAGCCTCACCGGAATCAGATTCTGTAGCTGATACAACTGATCTTCCTTCATCTCCTTTCCCATCCGCCCGGTGGTTCCGCTGTTGCATGGTTGCGATCCACCATGCCCCATCCTTCCAGTGTACGAGTGCTGCTTTGCTGCTTCTTGGCCTCGCTCTTGCTTTGAAAAGATGGGTCGCAGCCTGGCTCTCCCCTAACGTTCCTAGGACCGCAGTTGCTTTATAATGCTCTTCCTAGTTCAGAAACTCCTACAGTCACTAACTCCTTCTATGCGACTTTCTGTAATCAGGTTATTGCATATCAGGCTCCTATGAAGTGGAGGAGGCTAACATGAGGCCTTAAAAAAATGACAGCGAATAGATTATATTAATACCAGTTAAGTCTAGACTATATAATAGAAGCTGCTGGTCTATTTCAGGGGATTTAAAATCCATCTAATAAAGGGAGAGCTTCATTCATTCGGAGCTGCTCTTAGCACTATCCGTCCACGAAAGGACAGTCTCAATTGCATTACCTTTCCCAGGCTACTAATTAAGAGATAAAGATAATGGAATTGAAGTTCAACCCGAATCCAAAAGCTACTTGGCTACATTGCTATCGGCGAACTCGGATGGGTGGGATTCTTTAACTAACTATCTTGTCTTGTTGCTCAGACATTTTCTGCCTTTGCAGCTCCATATCATATGATGCAATCGATCCTTAATTCCATCCAGCCTCAGCAGCGTAGATTGACTGATAACACTACATTAAACTCTCGGCTACTAAGCTCTCGATTTTCTGGCTTAGCATTCTTAGGCACGGGAACAGGGAAGAGGCTGCAGAACGACCATTCTTATATGGAATTCGACCTATGGTTCTGAAAGAATACATACTCGATTTAGTTGCATAGCCTAAGTCTAGTTGGCATGGGTAGTGGATTGATGAGGAACCCTTGTGAATGGACCGTATTCTCCTATTTCTTAGTTTTGGCTTCCCCATAGAGCTACAGATCAATGCAATGGACTAGCATTGCGGAATTGAGCATTACCCTTTCCATTTCATTACCTTGGGACACTCACTTAAGAAAGAATGTCGAAAACAGGACAGGAAGGACGGTCAGACTGACGCCCTTATATACTCCAAGCCTTGTCCGTCCACCCCAAGCAGCTACTCTTACTGAGATTGAGTAATGCCCCCGCTCCGAGTTTACCGGAAGATCTATTCTTTCTTTACTTTATTCGCGTGTGAATAGCTACCTGCCAATCGTTGATACGTACACCCTTCTGTCTACTCCCGCTGCTCTTTGTCTCGACTCCTGCTTATTACTCTCTCTTTTTTCTTGGAGTTTCCCATAGACCATCTTCCGCACTCTCCATTATAACATTCTTCGTATGCTTTTTACTGCTAAAATAAATTTCCTCTACCCCACTCATTTCGTACCCAACCACCCATGCCGATAGGAGCAACTCGTCCAAGTCAAGCCCCGGGCACCATCGATGCAAGAACATCGCGGTCTTCCATACCCAACCCCTTCTCCAAAACTTTGTTCTCTTCACATTCAAAATGAATCCAAATCAAACCTTTTTTTAGAGCAGCAAGAGAGATCTTACCAGTCAAGCTCCATGCCTTGGAGCACCACTCTCTAATCTCCTTGAGAGTAGGCCTCCTATCACCGAATCGTGATATCAAAGAAAATCTGTATCTGCTGTTTGCTAGCAGCAGACTCTCCTCCTCCCACTCAACAAAGGGAATACCATCTTAGTCTATTTGTGTGGAGGTCAGCTTCACAAACTCTTCTCTTTCTCAAGTAGGCCGCTTTCAGTCCTCTCATTGGTAGTGGGAGTGCGGGGGCAAGTTTTTATTGGGTGAACGACTGGTATGGTTAGATAGTTTCTGGCTTTCAAGGCATTCTTAAGCCCGGGATGGAGGAAAGCTGCGGTTAGAAAGAAAAAGAATCGTCCGCTCTCCTAGCTCTAGAATTTGGTTACTGAGGGGGAGTCTCTCTACTATATAAAAGAGAAAGAGCTCTGATTTACCTTTGGCTTTGGTTCAATAGAGCCAGATCCCTTAGCTCCGGCCAACCTCAATCAAGCCATATAAGCCCCCAGCTATTTAGTCCAGGAGGGAATTTCATCTAGTTGCATTCCATCGAACTAAGGCAGGTAAGGAAGTTTGGGGTTGAATGAAGAATGGGATTTAGCCTTTTCTTTCAAAAAGAAGCTCCGTCGCTCTCCTAGTTGCTAAAGAATCCGGAGCTCTATACGCAGCTCTTTCCTCTCAGGTCTTTTCGTACTTGTGAACTTGAAGCCTTGATTGATTTTCAAACTGCGGGGCTTCTAGAGGGAGAATGGTTTCAAGTGGTAGCTGCTTTTCTTCCTGTTTTTGAAAAAGGGGCAGCTTGAGAAGAGTTATGCCTTTTTAAAAGGAGTTTATCTGGCTCTTCGACTACGAGTGAGAGTCCGAGCGGATTCCCCTTCCGAAACTGGCTGGAGGAGCTGATCCTTTTCAGTAGTAGACTTCGGCTACAGCTTCTGGTCCAAGGAAGCAGGATTTTAATGCCTACTTTACAATTGAACCACCTACACCTCTGAGACCTCCGCTTGGCCTATTGAACTGCTAGATAAGGATCAGGCTCTTTACCCGGCAGCTCATCAACCTGAGAGCGCTGGCCTGGTGGAATTGCCATTCTTTATAACCTACTCTAACGGCTTGGTGTGGGGGCTCGCTCACTTATTTGATTCGACACCACTTGAAATTCCTTTTTGCAAGGGCTCATTCTCCTTCTGGGAGGCATTTTTCATCCAAGCGGGCTGATACACAGGGCTCACCGACGACTAGAAGCATCATCTAATAGTATGAATGAGGCCCCGAACTTACTAGCCTTTCTGCCTCGGTAGCGAGGAGTTGACTTCCGGAAGGTTGGTAATTTCATACATGATGTCATTCCATTCGCTCATCTTTCTCCTCGTCGGGAAACCTTTCGCTAGTCTGGTGGTAGCTTCGGTGCCCTCCCGCCTCTCGATTCTCGGCAGGGTTTTCTCAACCTCAATCATTTCATATTTTCTTCTTTCTACAACGATCAACAAAGTGGAACAAAAGGCTAGTTTCCTTTGCGCAGCGCTTCACCATGCTCCTTGCTGCACGCGCTAGGGACTGTATAACCGTCTGCTTTCGGTTGTTTGACACACCACTTAGGCTTGGCTAGGGCAGGTAAGCTTGATGACTGAAAGCTTTCAATTCAAGTTAAGCAACGAAGAGGTCGAGGGCTTTAGCGGTAATTGACTCGACTGATAAGGGGAGAGGGATGGGACATAGGAAAAGCAAGCAAAGAAGCAGCAGGATACGGAATATGAAGGGGCTGGAGGTAGAGCCAATGACCAATTGAAGAGTTACAGACTTTAGTATAAAGCCCTCAATCATGCTCTTTCCAGTGGCATAGATTGTATATACTCTCGCCGATTAAGGAAAATTCTGTGCTCCACGAAAAAACATAGGGGGTCGTCCCTGGACTTAAGGAAGGCAAAACAAAAAGTGCACCTATGACTCTGGTTCTAGTGAAAGCGATGAAAGTATAGCTGTGCTCCAGTTTTTCGGGTAAAAGTTCTACGGTGAAGAGCCCGATCAAGGCGACCCTATTAAAGAGAACATTCGGGACATCAAAGCCGATGCGATGGTAATCTCGTCCTTAGTTTCCGAATCTAATGGAGGTTTCAATCCGACGGATCAACCGTAATTGGAAGGTAAAACGAGGCCTCGACGGAGATGATGGATGGGAACTCCTACTCTGACTATAGTTTCGATCTCTAAGCGGGATTTTCAGTCATCTATCCCTTTTCTTTCCCTAGCGAGTGAAGAAGGAGTGGATGTTTTGAACGAGTGTTGAGCGAGTGAAGTGCCCCATAAGCTATAAGGGCGAGCTATATGTATAAATTCCGTGAGCAGCGATTGAACTGAACGTTCAAAGTGCATCCAGCAGGAATCGAACCCACTCTATTATCCGGTTGATCGCTTTAACCATTCAGCCATGGATGCAAAGAGAGTCAGCGAGTGAACTAGGTTTTGGTATTCCTTCTCGAGCTTCTATTTCTTCCGTTAAAGGAGATTCGAGAAAAGATGGAATAGGAAGACGTGTTTCCAGAACAAAGAAGATACGGGTTGAGAGGGGGAGTTAGCAAAGTTAGACAAGATTGGAATGGGCATAGGAACATGTATTGATGTACCAGATCGGCTAATGCTCCCAGGTTGATGCGATGTATTCCACCAGTTGACTGAAGACTTGATTATTGGTATATCGATCGGTCCAGCACAGATTGAAATAGAAGCCGGTTCGACAGGAAGCTTTTGAAAACGCAGTGCACCCAGGTAAATAAAGAACGAGATGAATACAGAGGTTAAACGAGCATCCCACACCCAAAAGGTGCCCCACATAGGTCTTCCCCGAAACCCTCCAGTAACTAAGGTAAACAACGTAAAAAAAGCACCCATTTCTGTACCGGTTCCGGAAGAGCGAAGAAAAAGGGGGTGTTTTGTTAATAGGAACAAGAAAGTGTTTATAGCCGTAGCGATATAAACAAGAATACTCATCCGAGCCGCAGGAACATGTACATAGGGAATACGAGAATTTCCACCTTGTTGAAGATCTAGTGGTGCTACCCGAAGACTTAAATGAATAGCCATCGCTGTTAAGAACAACCGAGATCCAATAATAATTTTCGAATAGCTTCTGGTCTTTGACATCAAAAAAGAAGGTTGTAATAACGAAATGGACATGTGAGAATTTGGTCCTAGCTAGTGGAACAAGAAAGACATTGATCTATATTCAATACGCAATCAAAGGATTTTCCCCCAACGAAGAATTCCCACTGCTTTGTTTTCGCTCCGCTCGTGCGTGGCACTCCTTGCTCGCGGAGCAGCATACCGAAAAAAGAAAATAGAAGGGTCCTTATACAATACACTCAATTCCAATAGTGATCTTACTTGTTTGAAGGAACGAGAAGCCAGCAATTAGAAGAAGAGGTAGTAGATTACGAACCTTCTGATAATGAGGCTGCAGCTGAGCCAGAAAGCGCTCCATCAATTCCAACAGAAACATGTCTAACATGCCCCCTCAAGCTGAACGTGGGGTTCCAATGTGAAGCTTGCCACGCAAAACAAAAAGGCAAAGCGAGATGTTGACAGAGATTTGGTGAAGACATCCGCTACCTGGTGCTCAGTATGAATGTAGCGCACTTTGAGTGAACCCCGAGCTACTTTCTACATTGGAAGCACATCGGGAATCGTTTAGTTGAGTGCTTCGAAACGCGCATGTGCCTGAACAAACTTCCCCCGAAACAATGAGTCAAATGATTTCATCACCTGGCGCCAAAAATCATCACATTTTCGGATGACGAACTATCCGTCGAAGGGCGCAATCATGGCCGACCTCTCCCCTGTTTGATGCAAGAAATAGTTGGCTGTAAGTCATCCAAACCAATTTCTGGCAGAGTGGCAGAATCTTCTTCATCTCCTTCGAATACTGTCCAGTTTTTGCCATTATCCATGGCTGAAGAAGGCTGGAAACTGGCACTTACACTAGAGGAGATTACCTTTTTTCTTAAACTATATGGCTGGCAATTCTCACTGCAACTGGATGGCTAGAAGAAGGGGGATTAAGTAATGTAAGACTTTTTTGAGGTCCTTATCACTGTAAAGAAACTAGCAGCTGTAATTAGATCTCATACTAGATCAAACTCTCCCTCTCTTCGAGTAAGGATTTGCTGCTTTCTTACTTATTCCTAAACCTATTCCTGCTCTTTGTCGCTTAGCTTTCGATGTCCAATCGGTCCTTGCTTCTTACCAAATTCCTATTCCTTCAAAGCTGGCAATTTTGAAGGTTTGAGGCGGTTCTCCATTCCAGAAAGAGTAGTGGCACAAACTCAACAGCGATGACAAGTCAAGTCAGAATGAGAAGAAGAAGGCAGTCGACCACAAGCCGACCATTAGTCAATAGGGACCGAAACAATTCATTTTTTTCATCTCAACTCTCTAGGTGACCACCTTAGTCACTCATAGATCAGCAAATCCGCACTTTTCTTAGGAAAACTACTTTGAAGGGGACTGCCTAAGAATGTCTGAGTTTTCCCTTGCCTTTGTCCTCGCACACAAGGAGAAGGAACCGGCTAAAAGTCCGCAATCCCCTTTACCGGTTAGCGTCCGATTCTCTTCCAATTCGATCACAAGATCCTGGGTTTTATTACGTGTGCCGAACAAGAGTCTCCTATAGACATAAAGGCTTTTGCCTACGGCCGATAATGAGTCGCCAATCCACATCGGGATCGATTTCTACTCGAAAAAATTCTAAAGGGTGCCGCTTCGATGACGAGTACACAGGATTAAATTACTTCGATAAAAGCCGAGACAAAGGAATCACTTTCATCGACAAGAAGAGCATCCGATAAATTCATTACTCGTTGCAGCTACAGCCGCAGCCTATTCGTTAACTGGATCTCCTACCTTCCCTAAAAGTGGAGGTTCATGGATATGCTCGGTGGGGAGGATGAATCACTCCTTTTTGAAATAAGATTGGAAAGGATGTGTCTGTCCTGGTTGACTAAATGGGTGTAAGCGGAAGGGAAGGCGCAAGACTTGTCACTACTCTTCTCCGTATCATTTTCGTGAACTCAAAGAATAAGAATAGCATCTCGCCACTCTTCGTTGGTTCACGGGAATCCTCTGTGTCGGGTTCATTCCCCGGGCCTCGGGCCGAAGCTCGCTCCGCCGGACTTCAATAACTACGACCTCGCCCGTAGACCTCGGCTCCGAGGAGGCCGTACCGCAAGGCCGAACTCGAAGGTCTTTCCTTTCGATGAAAAGTGGATTGGTTTGTGACATGGGCTGACTCTGACAGGAGGAATTGCTTTGAGATTGTGGGCTAGTCTGAATCCTAGATGCAAGCTGATTAGGTTGATAAAGGGTGCTAGTCTCTTGTGAGACAAACCCTCTTTGAAGCACTGCATCTTTCTAGCTTCAAAGAAGAGAAAGACAACGAAGTGGGAATCTTTCCCAAGCTTAGGACTTTGATCAATGGGCACTAGAGAGAGGCGCTAACATGCAAAAAGCCTCATTTCGGGTCTTTTCTGGGAAGAGCACAGGAATGACTACAAGAGAAGACCGAAAACGTCCAAAAGAATGCCGATCCATAGAGAAATCGAAGCATATCGAGACCCGGGGGAAAGAAAGGCCTGGCTAACCACCGAGAGTAGGATTGACGACTTTTCTCGGTAGGGAGTAGACCTCGGATCGAAGCTTGGATGGCCTACTCAGCTAAAGAAAATGCCATTCATCTAGTTTTCACACGGGTAGGAAGAATGTTCTCCACCCGATTGCTCCTGGGACAACAGCTTGTGAGGGAAAGACAGCGATAGCGGATTCAGCATGGGAAGGTAGAACATGGATCTCGGTGTCCGGTCATTGAGAAAGGAAGGACGCTTCGCTTGTCGATTCTGGATTGCTTCATCGGAGACACCTGGCCTAGAGAAGGAAGGTGTCATCCGTCGTCCGGTCCTCCTTTGATTTGAATATGATGCTCACTCCACTTTGAACCGAACTAATGTCGTATGTTAACGAGTCCGTTCCGTGCACGTACGGTTTTCTTTCTTTCTCCTCGGGCCCTCCGGGGAAATCCTCTGGCTGACCGGCGGGCCGGTCAACACGAGTGGTTTTATCCCGATCCATAGTATGTTTCGACAGATGATTGATGAGAATGCCTCGCTGCGGGCGTACTAAACCCACTACGTACCACACCACCGGGCGGCTCGCCTGAATGCCGAGTCTTTCTCCGCCGCCAACTCGACGTCGTCGTCACCTGCAAGATAAGGCCAAAAACTTGAATTAAACAAGCGAGAAAAGCCCTTTCTATGTTATTAGTAAAGCGCGCTACGCTAGCTGCAAACTAAAGCGCACACTAGAAAGTGCTTCGAAAGGCGCCGGCTCTCTTCTTACTGACAGCACAGCTACGTACTGGCACTCAATTAGTAGCGCTGGCACGTCACTCGGCTCCTCGGCTCACTTCGGTTGCAAACTTCATTTGCCTTAGGCGCATGTCTCAGCAACACAAAACGAGGGTTTCGCTCGTTATAGGACTTGACCAAACATCTCACGACACGAGCTGACGACAGCCATGCAGCACCTGTATGAAAGTCAGTACCATCCCGTTAAGGACAGGTTTTGTTGTTCATATGTCAAGGGCTGGTAAGGTTTTGCGCGTTGTATCGAATTAAACCACATGCTCCACATGCTCCATCCCGTTAAGGACGAGGTTTTTGTTGTTCATATGTCAGATTGCTCCTCCAGCACTAAGGTTTTTTGATGATCTTTCGTCTATTCTCAAGGGCTAACAAAAATCTTAGTGGTCGGCTACAACCCATCTGCTTCGGCACATGAATCTAACTCTCGAAATGCCCTTTCTTTTGAATATCTTTCGATTCCCATTGACTTAGGCAAAGAGACCCCGCTCTATTGAATGAATCTGACTAGTTCTTCTCCGAGTATCTCTTCTTCACCGTTATTAATTAACTACTTGAATCAGCCCACGTAGCGGTATTAACTAAAGCATTTTAGAAACCGTGCTTTCGATGGCAAGGCCAGAACAACCAAGGGACAGGATTGATTTTCCAAGTTAGACTGCTGCTCGACCGGATATTTCACATGCTCCAATACATCATGATCAGTTCTTCGTTTAAGCCTTCTTCTTGAATATTCCTTTTCAAGTGCCCAGCCCTCATTTCACAGTTGACAGCAACTTGCGAGCCCTTTTTTAAGCTTTTGAGGAAAAATAAGGGATGACGATTGTCATCAAGCTTTCGATAAGATAAAACAGTATCTGCAGAATCCTCCAATCCGAGCACCTTTGGTAAAGAAAGGCAGCCTATATACTTTACAGCGTAACTGGAAAAGACTCTTAACGGAGTCGCATCCGAGTCTTCCATCATTCAGCTCTCAGGATAACGAGGTAAGCGTTGCCTTGTCTCGTTAAAATAATGAATTGAATTCTGTTGCCATACCAAGAAGTCAAATTCTAACTAAGAGCGTCGTATTCTAGCAACCATCATTAATCTCAGGAGATGCATATCCGAGAATCACTTGCTTCTGCTTCGAAGCACTTCTATACCGCACAACTGACATACCGTCTAATCGAATCTAATCGGAACTACGATCGCACTTCACTTAAGATATTTCTGTAGTAGCGAGAATAGTCTGTAGACAGAAGAATTCCTACTAGGAAAGCAGGTCACAAGCAAGGAAAGAAAGGAACGGATAGCCATAGTATACTTTCTTAGCGAGTCAAGAATCTCGTCGGGGAAATCTTCTTTCTGCCAGCCCTGTTTCCCCAACCAAGTAACAAAGAAAGTAGAAAAAAGAAGAAGATCAGAAAGAAAAGAAAAAAATCATCATAGACTCTGAGGTCTCAACTTCACTCCTTGGGCGGGAAAGGAATCTTCAAGTCTTCGATTTCCAGCTTCTAGCAGCTCAACTCTATTTCAAAGGTGAGCAGCGGGCGCAACTGAACCTAACCGACTAGGCGCAAGTAGCTTTCAATCGACCCTCGTGAGAGCAGCGAAAAGGCAAGCTGAGCGCCGTGTGAATAAGTATTTTATATGACCACTTACCGGAGATGCTGCTTAGTAACGGGCGTAGATCAACGTCAGATAGATCCTCGTGGGGTTACAGGGAGAGGGAAAGGGTTTCAAAAAGAAAGGAAATACCGAAAGTGCAAAAAGGTGCGAAGCGAGAAAGAATTCCTTACTTGGGGTGAGGAGTTAGACATTTAACGAAAGAAGGAAATCGCCCTTATACGACTTCTCCCACTTCTCTTATAAGGTAAGCTTAGTCATAAGGCGGATTCTTAGTTCTCCTTAGAATAAAAAGACAGAAGGAAAACCGCGCAGTAGTAAGAAGAAAAGAGCAGTAGCAGCTGCAACAGGAGCTGAGTATACAATGCAGCCAATGGTTCACAAGCCCCAGCACGTAGAAAGCCGGCTTCCACTCACGACCGTGTTGGCGCTGAGCCGCACCTCTACCATTTTCTTGGCCAGTAACGCAGGTCCCTGCTCTTTCGAGTAAGCAAGCGCTCACGCCCCTTTGAAACTATCTCGGGGTCAGGGCCCCAGCAGCAGACCGCCGAAACTCGTGTTTTAATGCCCGCCGTACTGCTGCATGTAGTAAGGACTTTCGGGGTGTAATGGAATACATTGAGAGAGGCATATTCATATGTTATCCCAATAGTCACGATATTCATCGCCTCTGTTAGGAATAGCAGGCAATCTCAGATCAGGATAAGGATTCGCATGCGGACAATTCGATGAGGACGATTTCTTGCAGAAGAGAAAGGGATACCAGACGATTGCAGATTGATTAGATGCGGACGATGATTTGGCAGATGAGAAGGACGATTTGAGAGCGAATCCGCCATTAATTACTCTTTTGAATGAAGGTTGCTCTGCTTCCACAGCTATTGAATCAGCTGTTGGCATATCAGCTCTTGTGCACTCATAAGCTCTTGGGAGAGTCCAAAGAACTCCATTCTTTTCTTTTTACGAATAAGCTCTTTCCGCTTTTCATTCCTCATGCACTGAGAAGTAGCAAAGCTTTCCTCATGCCAGCGTTCAGTTCCTATTGAGGAAGATCTGCCATTGCTTTCAAAATGAATCTCAGATGTCGGAAAGAAAGAAGCAGATTGAATGCCCGGACTGTGGTATCGGAAAGCAAAAGCACTTTCAAGAGATCCTAGGCCGAAAGCCATTTCTCGATAGTTTAGTGAGCCCCTAGTACCTTAATCAGAGAGCTTGAACACGCTTTCTGCTTAAATAAAGATTGCCATAGAGACGACTGATACTGATACAGACAGGGGACAACTCTTTTGAAAAGAAAAGGCAACTGTGCAAGAAGAAAGAGAATTAGCAGAAATCGAAAGGGACCGCTCTGATACCTCCTAAAGCGAAATAGACACGCGCACAGGCTCTTTAAGACCTGAGTCGTGCGGCCCCAGGTGCTACACTACAATAGGCCTGGGTTCTCTCCTTGCCGAATTTCGCTTCTGATCTTTCTCTGAGTCTCTATTTTTCCTCTCAGCTATTTCCAGAAGTATACGCACAAGATCTCTGATGAACAGTGCCTCTGGAAATAAGATATTGAGAGAATTCCGTGGACATGTATTCTCCTCCGGCGTCAAATAATTTTTTTGCATTGAAAAGTCTGGCTTGTCGATTGTTCGTCCAGGGGAGGTGAAAATTGGACGGTTCATGCTGGCGAGATCGCCTATTTCTTTCCTCACATGAATCATGAATGAGGGGGGTAGAGCGGCTCTTTCTCACGACTAGGGGGTTCTAGACTAGATAGGAAAAAAAGAAGCGGAGCGCTCTTCCAAAAGCCCGTTCAAACTCCTCCGTTAGAATCCCTACTGGGAACACACACGTTCTCTTGTTGAGGGTTCGGAGGAGGTATATTATGTCACTTTCGATCCGACTTCGTCACACGAAGACTCGTTCAGTGATTCTACGACTCTGTGTGATCGACTATCTTCCTGTTCGGGTCCGTCCCTATACTAAGTACTCCTGTTGCACGAAGATCAAACAAAAGACCGAGCAAGCTGCTCTGGGAGCCCGACCTGCAAGCATCGTCTTTTTTTCTGCTCAAAAGACCGGTTGGTTGTTTCGCCTCGGGATTGGAGATTGGTTCCACTGCTCACTCATCAATTGTTCTTGCTTCAAGCAAACCATAAAGGCAAGCTGAAGATTGCGAAAAGGTAATGGAGCCCACTCTTAGGCTCCGAAAGATCAGTAGCCGCCTGGGGCCGGTGGAAGTTCCCGCAGGTTGTGGGGTCGGAGATTCTTTCTTACTGGGATGGATGCTTTCACTCAATGGGCAAGGAGCTTCATGTCACCTCCACGCTGATTCAGAAGGTGTTCGGTCTACCGCACCTGCCAGCCATATCTATTCCTCGATTATTTTGATTGAAGGTACAAGCGAGATAGGAAGGACAGGGCCAGGCCGGGAACAGCACCGCAGCGGGAACTCCCCTACCCGCCGGTCGAAGGCCATTAGTGATATGGAAAAAAGAAAACTTACGTGAATACGTTGTCTCCAACACTGCGTAGCTTCCATCACTTTGATGGGGGGTGAGCGTCGTCGAGGGGCGTTCCCCCTACTACAAGGTCTTTGGGGCTATCCCCCCCACCTACTCATCATGGGGCTGAATCGGAACTTCCCCGAAGGAAATGAAATGTGGGTTCGTTCCTGAACCAAAGAGGCATTCGTCAGCGTAGGAAGGCCGACTACGCTCTCTTTGTCAAGAAAAGGGAAGGAACAAAGGTCCTTTCATCGATTCTTCAACATTATCAATAAATAGATCGACCCATAGGATAAAGGGGATGGAAGAGACACAGGAATTGAATCTTGGATTCAACTAATTTCTGGGGCTGCCCGCTGACGAATGATTGATCGTGTTGCCATAAGCATCGAAATCAATGGGATAGTAAAATGGAGGGGTAGGAAAGGTAATCTGCTGAGATGGGGATCACTTCAGGCTTTTCACGAGAGTACGAGATGCGCCCGAACTCGAGAACCTTCGCTGAGCTAGGCAAGGCCTCGCTAAGCTTGGTCGTAACTTCGGTGGATCATGCAGTGACTCAAATGACTACTAACCGGCCGTTGGTCAAAGGATAAAACCCCGATCAGTCGAGAAGAGACCCACTCGAAGAGGTGGGGGAGGCTCGCCTCTTTGAATGCCTTCTTTGATCTCGCCGACAATCGATTACTTTTCTTTTCTTACGGTAGATGCTCGAAGAAAGAAGACGTCCCTTATCGACGCTTACCGGTTTGATTAATATATCGCTTCGCTTGATTCGAATTCGAGCATCGTTCCTTTCTTTCATATTTCTTTCTATACATAGGTCGGGATAGAAGAGTAGACCTATCCGTCCGCATTTTACTAATATCATTAGCCTTTGAAGTCGGCCAAGAAAGAATACAAGAGAAAAGGGCTATCCTCGGGTTTCAGGACGAGAATGGAAGGCGGAGAACGTCGGTAACTCGACCACCTTTCGAATCAAGGAAGCCCGTGAAACGTGGCGTACGTTCAGAAGCCGTGACCTTATCGACGTTATTGGAATGCAGGTCTCTAAGTCCATCAGGAAGAGCTACTACGCTCTATGGCCAAGAGCCTAGCGGGAAATTGTGAGAAGATCCGTTTCTATCCGAGGTCTACAATTCTCTTTCTATTCTAGATGTCACCATATTGGAAGGTAGGGGTGTGGAATAGAAAGGGCTCAAGAGCATGTCTTCTTTCGCGCATTCTCTCATGGATTCTTGATCGCAGTCTGTAGTTAGGTTTTTTCGAGTTCCTTTCCAAGGCTTTCTTTGTCTTTTTCTTCTGATTGATTGATTCAACAAAGCAAGGAAAGCCCCTCTAACATAGTAAGATGGAAGATCTTCTACGAAGCACCAACCTAATATAGAAGAAGCGGAATAGGCTCTTAGCCAAGGAGCAAACCCTATTTCACTTTGAAAGTCCTTGATTTCCAACTGAGCTTAGAAACAAAGCAAGTACAGGTACTAGTTTCGGTGAAACCCGATCTAATCGGGAAGTTGGGAGCAAGTAAGAGGGAATGACCTCCATCTCCTTTATTCGCGTAGGAGCGGATGGACATGTGCGAGATTACTGTCTCGATATAGTCTATTTGAGTGTCCGATCTCTCTCGGGATGGAACAGCTCGGAAGTCGTGTCCGAGACAAAAAGTTCGCACTCGCTATAGTAGAAGTTGTCCCTGGATCTTAGATCACGTAATTTTGTGATGAGTTACATCGGAGTTGGAACCGGGAATGGATTATCGATCGAGTCCGTAGCGAGAAGAGTCGAAATTTGAAGATCTTTCTTCGAAACGTACCTTTCGAGTGGAGCACCTTCTTCAATTCGAACTCGCATTCCATTCGAAAAAGCAATTGGAGAAGAGAAAGAAGCAACAAAGAATCGGAGCTACAGAGAGCGGTTGTTATCAATAAGATTCATTAGCGAGAAAAGTATGTCGCGAGAGAGATTGTTGCAGAGAACGCCCGGAAAGAAAGGAACTAGGAGCAATAGATTGGATGAGTTCTACCACCTAGCCTTTGATTCGGCAAACCGATACTCGTAAAGGGGCTTCTCAAGAGCCGCAGCTACTAACTCGACTTCCATCTTAGCTTAGCGCATGAAAGGGCACGAAGATGAGAATCAGAGAAGGGGGACTACTGGGCCATGAGTTCAACCCTTTTCTCATCGGGCCAGGATCGATAGCCGTTCGACCTCCGAGGGAAGTGCGGTCAGATTAAGAATCACCAATGTCTTGGTCTTTACCTTCGCTTCGAGGGACAAGCATCGCATCTATGTAAATGCGGCATCTAATTTAATTGATTCACCTGGATCTTCCATCTATGAGATGTCTGTTACGGTCGGCTACGGAAAGCAAGCAAGTTTAGCGAAAATATAGATGGATTTTGCCCACCGTCGACGATCAATTCCCATTCATTCTTTAATGGAATAAGTGGCAGTAGCAGTCGCGGCTATCGGAATGGGCGCTAGCCTATGACTAAAAGTGTCGACTATCTATGAATGACCAGGATCGGAATGCCAATCGACGAGATGAGCCTACGAAAGATTTCAAATTCAGACTATGATGACTCCTCACTTACGCAACGAAATTGAGTTTATGGAGTAGCCAGTGACATTGAGTTATTCTCTTCGGTATCGCCTTCTCTCATGGTTAAAGGCGCCGCAAGGCACTCGACTAGAAGGAGTGGATGTTAGGCACGCAGGGAAGACTCTGACTATGCTACTGCACTAGCCCCGGGGCATGTCATCTTCTTTGATCGAAGGAACGGATAAGTAGAACCGTAACCATATCCTTCACACATTCGATTCGATCTTATCTCGCGCTATCGCCTCGATCATAGCCGTACCGTACGTCTCCCCGCCCCGTTAGAATAACTGTCCGTAACAACACAACCCGAAAGGAAGCCATTCCTAATAGGAAGTCGAGTGAGATGATAACGACTCCAAGAGAATAAAAATGACTTAGTGGCCTATCCCGCCAGCCGACTTTTCATGTCATGTATCGTGGCCGTATACCAAAGTTGTTCACCCGGATGAAATTCGTGTTGAGTGAACACCCGGTGAAATGGATTTAGGAAAGCACGTGCCATCCTCACCTTAATTAAATTAAGAAAGACCAGCCGAGATTTAGCTGTTGGAAGAATAGGACCAGCTATTGAAGAAGAAATTGACGTAGAAAGAGGCATTCAAGTATCCCCCTATGGCCAATGTGAAAGTGCACCACCTAGGGTAGAAGAATAAAATTCTATTTTACCTCCTACGGTCGTCACATGATTACCAGAGGTAATGGGAGACTTCAGTCAGCTCCCCCACCAATGAATGTTGGTGGCTTCTGTTCCAACTGAACTGGGAACAGTCAGGTGCCACCCATTGGACGCATGAGCCAATGTTCTACACACAGAAGGACTGCCCTACCAAAAAAGCTTGCTTCATTGGTTGATCGAAGCTCGTGCTTTCGATTTCCTGCTGCGCGAGAAAGTCTAAAATGCTCTACAAAGGGCTGCAAGATAAGGGAGCCACATCACGCGGACCGATCAAAAGCCGTTTTTCGTTAAGATCAATCGATTCCTAGACAAAACGCAGAAGAAGTTTCCCTCTATGCCGGTGCAGCGAGACAGGGAGATCGTATCGAAAAAACTGCTTTTCCTCTCCTCCCCAGGAGAAGGTTGAAGTAGAAGCGGATGAAAGCCTGGCTAGAGCGAATAGAAAAAGTGGATTGTTAAACTCACTGCCCGTCCTCCTTTTACCGGATGCTGATCTAGAAGCTAAAGCTAATCACCGGGCTCTAACCCTTTCAAAATAGAGGATTGATTGAGCCGTCGGATTCGAGTACCTCTTACCGGTTTGCTCATCGCATGCTGGTTATCAGAGTAGAAGCTACATCACTAATCGCGGATGTTTGGGCATCTTTAAGAGTTGAGTAGCTGCCCATCATCCCTTTCTTCAATGAGAGAGGACTCAACCCCCGTACGGTATGTTACGGTACGGCTCGGTATAGCAAGGGACGAAGTAGTGGATGTGATGACAAGGCATCTCCGATAGTTTGAAGGACCCCATCGTAAGGCTTTCAGTCAAATCGCTAAGGGGGAGAGAGAGGAAAAGCCCTTACTTACTCAGCCTTTGATCCTTCGCGCTGGCTCTGCTATGACTCTTTGCGAACTCCTTGCCCGACTTTACCCGAAGCCTTCCCGGTGAACTTGCCCGATTTCAATTGTCATTATGAAGGGAAAAAGCTCTTGAAAGGGCGCCGATTGAACTCTTATTTATTATCGGACATCATCAAATCTCATTCATCTGATTCAAGTTGATGACTATACTATCTTTCTTCAATGTGGGTACCTGGTCGTTACACCTTGTCAGACTCTACCCCCAACAAAAATAGCTTGAAGAACTGTTGGGGCAGTAGCAGTCGTAAGGTAAGGCCCCCACCACACTGAAAGTTATTTCCTCAATACAAGACAGGCACAGGTGCGGAGCAATCGAATAGGAATTCAGCCTGCTTTTCTCAATCACAGCCGTCCTGGTCCTATCTTTCCTACTCTTTCCCAACCAAAGAGAAGGATTTCTCTCCCTGGAAAGAATGGTGTCTCAGAAAGTTGTTGAATGCCTCAACTTCGGATGAGGACCAGCTAAACTATCTAATGATGATGATCAGACGTTGCTTCGGATGTGTATGAGAAAGAAGCTTCTCACAGATATTGACTTTTAGATAGATACCAGCATAGTATCTTAATTAGCAGTTTCTTGAACTTGGTTGCAGGTTGCACTCGTAAAGCGAGCGATAGCAAGAAAGCAACAAAGAAGCCCACGAAGCGTTGATATTTCCCGACCTGCGAGGAACGAAAGTGGCTCTCCAGAGAGGAAAGCAGCTCGACCGGTAGGGGCCCGCTCGACCAAAGGGAGAGGGAGAGCGAGCAGGGCCATCGATTGACTGCCTCTCCCTATTGGTCTTCGCTTCATGTCCTGAATAAGCAATCGGAGAAGTCACTTAGAAGACGCAAGTGCCACCTTCGAGAAGTAAATTGGGATCAAAGATCTCAAAGATCATGTTCTAATATCATAGAAAGAAGAAAGATCACTACAATAGGTCTGACCTTACTTAGTGGCCCTTCTTTGATGAGCAAGCTGGGAATGATCAATCTCCATTCGCTTGGAGGAGTGTTAGCGTATGTGTGTCACTTATGTCTCATGTACTTGTACTAATTGTACTTGAGTTGTACTCTTTGATTTGTTCATTAGTCACGTCCAGTCGTATTGGCAAGGCTGGGGTACGCATGTTGTACATAACCGCAGCCATCTTCTATCAATACTGAAGTTGGGATTCATGAAAGGTATTATCTGTATTCTCCCAATTCTCTAGCTATCCTTCCGCTTTCTCTTACGTCGCGGCCCTTCTTAAGCTCTTTTGAACCGGGCAGGACGTACAACTTGTAGACCCAAGGCAAGGAAACAACAATTTATCCGTGGAAGAATAGGATGATAGGACCGAACCGACACTAAGGTTTACAATAGTTTGACCTGTGAAAGCCCTCTTTACTACGCTTACTCGCGATCTTCTTCAATGAAGCGCCCAACCGTCTTCAACCAAGCCTCCTATCCCATTTCGGCGATGTTGGTGAGGCGATCCGAGGTTCGGGCAAGGTATGTGTTAAGCATTTAGCGATCCACGATTCGTCGGGCGCTCGGACCGTATCGCCTCGCTTGCTACAATCAACCGACCCGTTTTCCTTGGTCGACAAGGGAGCTCCCCTAATCCCTACTTTCACGTGAGTTTCTTCTATCTCGGATTTTGGCCTCGCGTAAATGATGCGGAGCGTTGACCTTTACCTCTTGGGTAGAGGAGTCTCTTCTATTTTAGGGCCGGGCACTGGCCTTAGAATGCACGATGAGTGCTGACCAAAGTAGTTTAACGGAGAAACCCCGGTGGGATAACGGCTTCTTCAAGGAATACCTCTCCTTTCCGTCTGGGAAGTCGCGCAAGGCGCCGCTCTCTCTGCGTACCATGACCAATTCCGCATCATAAGGTGAAAATCGACCTATGTGAAAAAGGTGCTTGGCATAAGGTCTAGTTCCTCGCACCGGATCGGGCGACTTGCACGAGTCGACTGGATCAAAAGAAGATTCGCGCAAGCCGTGTTGGACCGGGAGACGCCACGCAAGGTGTAGGAACTACGATTCTTCGTCAGATTAGTCATACTTAAAAAGATATATTTATATACAAGCATTTGGGTCTCGTTTTTTTAGCCCATTTTATGCTATTTTTATGCTATTCTATTTTGGTAGTTCGATCGTGGAATTTCTTTCTTTCTGTATTTCTGGAATATGAGTGTGCGACTTGTTATAATGGATCCTATTGATAATACAGAAAATGGGTCCGTCATCTTGATAGAGATGGTTTTTGACTTCGTCAGATATTTATTCTAAGTATCAGGAGCACGGAATATATGAAATAGATTACGAAGTATTAGAGCTATGATTCATACTTAACTTAATATTTAAATCCCGCGACCGGACTCCAAAAATTGCAAAGAGTTAGAAACTCTAAATTGAAAGATTTTTCTTCCTTCTAGCTCTTTGTCTATGTTTATTTTGATCAAAGGATAAACCTTTCTTTGGATTTTTAGTCATTATATTTATTCATTGAATAAGTGATGATACAAGAGTTCTTACTCAGGGAATCCTTGTACTTAGTTAGTTTGAAGGTTTTATTGAATCATCATGGTTCTAGTATGAATCTGAGGTTTTCAATCAATTTATAGGATCTTAACATCCTATCAATCAATAATAAAGAAAACACCAGTAAAGCCGCATTCCATATAAATAAAAATACCAGGAAAAAAATAGGTAAATAGAAGATTCAAGAGGCCTGTAACGATAAACATCAAGAGATAAATGAGCCGACTTGATATTTTGGCATATAACTACAAAGAAGAGTTTGCGGATTTTTCTTTTTTCGTATCATCATCTTCCGAGAAGATTGTTGAATCATAGGATTAAGAAGTTTCTTTCTATAGCACATATCCGTTTCAACTAGTATTTGGGTTTTTCTGTTTGAGCTGTACGAGATGAAATTCTCATATATGGTTCTCGGAGGGGGAGTTTCCCCAGTTTACCTATCTCAATAAAGTCTATGATTGGTTCGAAGAACGTCTTGAGATTCAGACGATTGCAGATGATATAACTAGTAAATACGTTCCTCCTCATGTCAACATATTTTATTGTTTAGAGAGGAATTACGCTTACTTGTTTTTTAGCATGCGAAGTAGCTGTGGTTTGCTATGACTTTTTACTATCGTCCCGACCGTTACCGAGGCCTTTGCTTCGTTCAATATATAATGATTGAAGCTAACTTTGGTTGGTTAATCCGATCGCCCATCGATGGTCTCATACGATGGTCCTGAATGATGATCCCGCACGTATTTCGCGTGTATCTCACTTGCATTTAAAAACCTCGTGATTGGGTTACGGTGTGTGGTTCTTGCAAGATTAACCGCATCCTTTGGTGTAACTCGGTTATTCCTTACCTTGGGACCGGTTATCTGCAACTAAAATTGTAATGCAAAGGTTTTAAGCTATTCCCGTAATAGGATACCACAGCCTTTTAGTGTTCTATAATTCACCTCAAGAGTAGGTAGTTCGATTCTTTTGATTCTTCTCTTCATAGTCAACTTTTGGGGGGATGCGGAGCACGGATTACTATATGCAAAGAGTCAGTAAACTATAGGACTTCTTATTTGAGTAGGAAGATTTCGGTTTTTCTCGTTTTTGAAATGATACAAATTTCTCTTCATTCTGTCATGGCCAATGGCGGAACCGCCCAAGATACTTTTTCGAATCCTTTTAAGTCTTCTTCCTGCATGAAGAATGCAACCCTTGCAAAAACCGGGATTTTAGTAGTAGGCGGCATCCCCTCTTAGTTTTGAGTAGGTGGAACCATTCCTTGCTTTGGTTCTTCTCCACATTCACACTGGTGATCCAGTGAATTTCCCTATGATTTTTTCAACTAATATTTCGATATAGAAAGATCTCCTTATTTCTTCACCGCGGATTCTTGCATCATTTTCTTGAATTATATCACCGTGGGACACTTTCAAATGAGTAATGCTTACCATTCTATTATTCACACAAACCCTTCGATGACTTATCAGCTGCCTTGCTTGAGGAATAGTTTCACAAAAATGGAGACGAACCAGAATAACGTCCAATCTTGAATGAGAGAGTGGTTAATTTAATTTAATCAGATATTGTATAAGCAAGAGCTTCCCAGAAAAGAACGTTCTTTACCGCAACCAAGTTCAAGAAATCTGCTAATTAAGATACTAATGCCGGTATCTATCTAAAAGTCAATATTCGTGAGAAGCTTCTTTCTCATACACATCCAAGCAACGTCCGATCATCATCATTGATAGTTTTACCCGTCCTCGAAAGCAGCATCATCGCTCTAGCTCGCCATGACTCGATCATGGCCTTAGGCGGAATTGGTCCCGGCCGGAAGAACGAAAGATACCGGCAGAGGCTGCACCACCGCTTGTCCCTGGGAGTCTTAGGAGCGGCCCAAACGACCACAGAGCGCCTCGAACCTCTTTCTGAAATGCTCGCACATCTCTGGAGCAGGCAAAGGTTGGCAATAAGCAAGAAGCAAGCTGTACCTATAAGCGAAGAAGTCAAGCAAGCCTCAACTCGTCTTAAGGATGGAGATTATGCTCCTAGAGCCAAGGCAGTAGCAAGCCTTTTTCACTTTAGTCACTTTTTCAGACCAAGCATGATCGAGGAAGGAGGTAACACTAAGAAGGTTCCACCTTCGACACGTACCTCACGCATATCATATCGAAAAGAGATCCTCAAAGGCTCAAAGGAAGAAAGAATAAAAAAGTCATGGTAGAAGATCTCGCCAAAAGCACATGGCGAGCTATAAACAAAGCGCTCATGACGAGGTCTTCGTGATCCCTGGCACATAGCCAATCCCGTGCAAGAAAGAGAAAAATCCAATCTAGCACAAAAAGTTCCTGATGTGAATTATCTGGATGCTTGATAAGAGCAAGATCTAGGAGTGGTCGCCAACGTCCGACAGCAAGAGCGGCATAGGTGGAGTGGACCGACCCCTCTATACAGGCTGCCGCTATCACGACCGAAGGATTTAGACTAAAGACCGAGGCGAGGCAAAAGAATGAAGTCGATCATCTCCTTTTGAAAAGATAAAAACAAGGCAAAGGAACCGAGTCTTCTTCCTTCTCATATACCGTATAAAAAGAGAGAAAGCCCCTACGGCGAACACGGACCGATTCCTATCGAGAAAGCGGACTTTGGCTACATACCTTCTTACGTATCAAATGTGGGGTACCGCACTTCATCAACGGTAAAGCCACATATTCTTTTCGTTGACCTCTCATAGTCTTTTCCGTCAAGAGCTTGAAGGAAACCTCTCATCTCGGCGTTGAAGAGAGAGAGGACATTCTAAAGATAGCTGCTAAGCGAAGCATCCGATCGAGAACTACGAGTGGGGCCGTGAACTCCGCCCCCAACCGCAGGATTCGGTGGTAAAAGTAACCGGTGAAAGAGTAAACGCCGTTGGAGTTTTAAAGGCAACTGTGAACCCGCTGTTCAATCATCCCCAGTTAGAAAGGTAACCTCATGCCTAAGCGCTGTTCGAGAAGGATATGTGGGACTTAAGGGGTATGCCTTCCCTTCTGACTTTCCTTCGTCACCCGATTCCTCTCCTGATTACTTTTCTTTATTGCCATTTCCTGCTTTCCTAACCTTCACCCCCTTCGGAAATATAAGGCAAAGCAATGAAGCTATCCGTGAAGAAGTGATTCCCAAGCGCGACACGGTCTGTCTACTCCACTGACTGGGAGAGGAAGCAGCATTTTGAACCAGATGCCAGCGGGTAGCTGCGCCGGAACCATGTTTTTGAATATCTGGGCTTTGAAAGACCAGTCGATGATCCATCCCTTGTTTTTCCCGTATATCACCCTTCGATCCCCTAATTTTCTCACTGGTTTCGAATGCCTCTCATCCCCGCCTGCTTCATTCGACTAAAAAGTCTTGATCGTACAGATCACTGAGATTCATTTCGATCGATTCTTCCCTAAAATCTTCCTCTTTTTGAGTTTTTACACGACCTCTGGTAATATGTGAATTCTGCTTTCCCTCTCCGTTGAATGAACTAACTACGGGGCTGCACTCGTCTCCCGAGCCAGAGAGCAAGACAAAATGAGAGGCCTGAAAAAAGATCCCCGTAGTTAGGAAGTAGTTCCTGGGCTCTTAAATCAACTACACTCAGGGGCGAGACAGGAAAGAGAGCACCGGATGATTGAACACTAGAAAAATCTCTAGCAAGAGTACCGGTGCTTACTCTTGCACCGCTTACGGGAGCAACTTCTTCTTTAACAACTTATTCTGTCTCTCAATCCGATTGTGGTCATACTTCTTCGACTAGGGAATTTGCTTCTTACCATAGAATAAATAGGAATGAAACTACTGCTATGGAATCTTCTGTAACAGACTATTCTCTAGGAGCGGATTCTTGTACTGATGAGTAAGAAAGTAGCTTCAAGCTAGGAGCTAAATCCCACATCGAAGAGCATGTGTCAAGCATAGTGGCATGCTCTTTCGACGATCAGACCTAAGAAATTTCTCTTTCTTATTCAACTGAAAGAACAACTTCCAAGTCAGTTACAAAAAGAGATTGAAAAAAGAACTCAAACTTTATAAACGACTGATACTACAGGAGAGTAGCTTCAAGAAGTCGACGAATAAGTAGAGATGGAATCAGCGACTGCGGAGGAGATAGATAGTTGTAAAAAGCTCGCCCTAAACTAAGGGTGGGAGAGGTTAGTATACGCTCGAACAAAGGGAGAGGAGTTGGCTGTCAGATTTGAAATGTGAGAAGCAAATAGTTCAGCTATAGGTTTCGGAGGGGAAGATCTCTCTTCCTCTTCTTTCTTGTCTTCTTATTCAATAGAGAGTAGGGCGGGAAGTAGTCTTCTTGCTAGCTTGATGGCTGTGACGAAAGAGCAGGCAATCTTTCCTCCGATTCATCAAACCGCAACACTTGATCTTGCCCCGCTTGCACCGTTCACTCACTCCTTCAGGAACATAAGAGAGAAAATTCGTTCATCAGTCGGTCTCTTCTTATCCCCAAGAGCTACTGCACTACGCCTAGCGGAAGGAAAGGAGGTCTTTTAGACTGTAGCCTACTTTAAGGTTGAAGGCGAGCGAAGGATACTAGCCAGACCGAACGGAGGGATTGAGTGATAGATTGATCGACGTCCGAAGCCGAAGAACGCTCGACCGCGAGTCCCAAGGCGAATTGTAAGCCCCAACAACAAAGGAACGAGCATTTTTGGGGACTAGCCCGCTTACCATTACTCAAGCAATCGATATCACCTCACCAAAGGGAAACTTCACACTGGCCAATTTCACACCTTCCGAATGTGCCATTTGACCGAATGTGACAGCTAATCAAAAGACACTAATTCGGTTTCAGGAACAGGAGAAAGGATCGGGTCTTGAAGCTAAAGATCAATCTAGAAAGCAGAGTCCAAGATGTGTTAAGCATATCACTTAATATGCCATCTTTCGGGAACATGAGAATGGTATGCCCAGCTAACTAAGGGACATCACAAAGATTGGGACCTGAAGTGGTAGAACGAAGAAGGTCAACCAAGTGTACTAATGTGGGCATTTTTTCTGAAAGCCTTTCTTAGCTTTATGGCTGATAGCATGAACTTGGTCTTCTTGGGACCTCTCTCTCTTCTCTTCCTCCTGCAAAGAAAGAACAGAAGAAAGTTGCACTACCGGCAGAAAGCAGCTAGTCTAAGAATAAGAGAACAGCGGATAAGACGAAAAGAGCAACTTCTCTTGCTGCGGATGAAGTAAGGCATTCTCGAAGAGTAACTTTCACATCTTGTCCAATTCTTCCCGCAAACCTTCCAACAGCAGGGGATTGGCCTTCTCTTAGTCCTATTGCTATGCTCTCTTCCCCTTCGATACGTGACAGCTATTGATCCGATCGGAAAGGCAGGAAGTGCCACATCTGTGTCAAGCTTCCTGTACTGCTGCTATTGTTAATGCCCAAGGCTTCTAAACCTTCGATGAGGTGAAGGCACGTATTCGGATCTCACCCTTAATTTCTAGTTACCCGTTAATGTCCCATCTAAGAGCTAGCTTTTTGTCTTTCTCGATGCTTGAATAGCCCTAAGCAATGCCACCTGCTTTTTGCCCTAACAGCAGATTCTACCCCCTGACTTGATTCATCGGAGATTGACGGGAGAGCTTGTCTTTTGAAAGGGTAGCGGGTAAGCATGAAATCCAGTAAGAAAGGCACTAAGACGAATTCCGTCTAAAAGGCCTATAGGTCTTACTAACTTCAGAGTCAAAACCAGTGAGAGTTACGATAGCACCAGTTTTCCAAAGACTTTACGGAGATCATCAGTACTTCTACGAGGTTTTTTCCTTAGGTAAATCAGCGTAATCCCGAGCTTCTTTCACCCCCGAAAAAGGATTTCCATTCTCCTTATCAGTAGTAGGCTTGAATTGAAAACAGCTTGTATTCGATGCCTACTCTTTATATATGTCACTTCCGTCCCCCAATCCCCTTCCCTCAGGAGTGAAGTTGCTTTCCTTGGGTCAAATGTGGCATTTCTTCTATTATACGATACCGTAGAAATGGAAATGGGAAGGAAGGATTCATGGATGCACAGAATATTCTGGGGAAGAAGCTCTTTGGCTGTTGTGCTAGAATCAGATGTGGTTGAGCTAGTGGGATAGATTGACTATTCATATTTATCTTCCTATAAGGGAAAAAAGGAAGGGAATGGACCTTCTCAATCCAAGACTTTCGGGCAATCAATTGACTTATTAAAGGAGCTTTTAAGCCCCTCGCGAGTAAATAGTCTTTACCACTACTACCTGCTAACTCCTCGCCTAATCCCTCTGGAAATTTGCCCGACTAAGGCCTCAGCCAGAACCCCAGACGGAGAGAAGAAGCTCTTCCCTTTGAACGAATCTTGCTCTCTTATCTGCTTCTTCTTTTGTTGGCAATTCTTCTGTTGTCGGAATACCCGGTCTTGTCGGAAGGGAAGAGAGAAAAAGAAAATCGGATGTGGTAGCTGTTGGGAAGGCAGGACGAGAACTATAGTATAGGACGGGAACTAGAGTGCTCTAATTGCTCCTTCTCCGGTTGAAACCACTGTTGCCTGATCCGGAACCAGCTCTAGCTACTGTTCCATCTCCTGCACCGTTCTGCGCCTTTTTGAATTTGAATGAAAGGCCTAGCTTTGATGCTTTCTTCTTACCCACGCGAGATTGTTACCTAGGTGAGAGCTCTGCGTCCGTCTTGGACTGAGGGGCGATAGCGAAGTCTGGGGCCTAATACACTTTTTTTTTAAGTGCAAGTCCTGCCCTTATATGCCTATCCCCTACAAACCTAAGCGGCCCACCTGAGCCTTGAAAGCAAGAACTGTACGAGCCGAACGGACGAAACAAGCGAGTCCTACTTTGACTGCCTTGTCTACCCACCCACTACACAGGCCTGAGTTAGGTACAAAGGCACTCACTTTTAAGCATATCGAGGCTAATGTAAATTAGTATGCCAAAGGGATAAGTCGATCCAAGCGAACCGAGCAAGTCATTTCGTCTTTTCGGGATGAACTTATCGTGCGCTACGCCAGGCTAAAGACAAGAAAGAAGAAAGAGCGCACCCCTCTCGTGGTTGGGAGCTTCACTCTGCTAGTTTCCGCTGTGGTCTTCCCTTATTTAGCTCCTTGGCTTGAGTGCGCAATAGAAAGCGGAACTGCTCTTTCGTGCAAGACAAGAACGCTAGAGGTAGAGACACATTTACAAGACAGGCCGGAAAAATGAACATTTTCAAATTTAGTAGTAGCTCTTCCCGAGCTGCTTTCTGACGCTAAGGCCATCTGAGAAGGAAGAAGACGCATCTTCCAATAATAAGTACCACAGCCGGCAAAGTTTTTAGAGTCGGGTTTAGGGTTTTGATTTTCTTATCAGAATCCATACCAGGAGTTTTGGAGAAAGGCCAACTTGGCTTTCCAGTCTAGTTGTCGAGCGGCAGTGTCGTAAAGTATCCACTCATATGAAGGAAGGTTAGATACCTTTGACAGGGTTGTATTTTTGGTTGAAATGGGATGGTGTTCAAACTCCCTGAAATGCAAGCCTAGATAAAGCCAGGCCTTCCCCTTTACCGACCGGACCGAACTCTGGGGAAGTAGTCAATCTCCTCTCGGAGCATGCCGCATGCTCACTCGAATGGAGTAAAAGAACTTGGGATCGTCGATCTCTTCCTTAAAGATTGAGATGAGTCGATGTCGGTCGATGGTGTGAAAACAGTTCCTGATGTCGAATTCTAAAAACCAGCGAGAGGTTCTCCATTCTTCTTTGATCCGTCTTAGGACCGAGTGGCAGCCTCGACCCGAGCGGAAGTGCGATGTGTCTGGAAACTCGGGATCATAAATGGATTCGAGTACCATTCTGATCGCCTCTTTCATGATCTTTTCTATAGGTAGAACTACTGTGAGCGGTCTAAACTTCAACCCTTCTTTCTTTCGTCATATTGTTAAGGGGAGCAAAGCCCTTTTTTTGCTCCCTCTTTTTTTGATAGATCAAGGTTCTTTATTCCGTCGTTTCAGTGACTCATAGGGCTTCCCTCAGCTCAGTCTTTTTGGTTCTTGAGAATGGTCCTCTCCCAGGACCGGAATGATTATCCCTGCCCGATGGGTCTACATTCATCCCTGAATGTCGTCGGGTACTGTTCACTTCCCCGCCATTCTTGTAACCGTCACCTGTAATCCGCGCAGGTGTGTCCGCCCCCCCTGAGTGGACGAGAAAGAAAGGATTTCTCAGAGCAACCCCCAGGAGTCAACTTTCCCGTATGAGCATTCGGTACATGTGTCAGTCCGTGGAAAGTGAAAGGGTCACCACTACTGAGGATCTCCCCCTAATCTTAGATAGGTCGTCTGAGGGTTCGCCGCGGTTCATTGCTGTGCTTACACACTAGGCTACCCTTCTCCGAAAGCTCCGCGGGACCACCTACCACTAGTCTTCAGCCTGAGGGGTTTATTGCACAAAAACGCCGGGACGCAGGCTCCCGAAGAGGGAAGCCCAACGAATGTCAGATGCAAAGCCCCGCACCTCATTAAGATCATATTGGCATACTCTCCCAAAAAAAAAAGAGCAGACCCCATTGAAGACGAGAGTGAGGTACAACAAGGCCATTTCTGTCCACCGCCCTTCTCACGGAACCGTACGTGGACGTTACCGCTCATACAGCTCCCAGCCAGCAAGCAGTTAGCCTTCCTCTACAAGGAATGGAAGTGTGGATGAATCGACATCAAATAGAGGAATTCGGTTTTTCTTTTCAGCAATAACATGATAAGAGCATCCCTTTCACAAAAACCTAAAGATCCCATCCCTATCCTGCCACTTCAGCACCTTTTGATCTTTGAGAAGATCATTACGAGCCCTCTCCTAGAATGTTTTTGTAGATTCCGAAAATTCTATGGTAGATCAGGACGAGAATGAATCCGGGAATCCAGGACATACTCATCCTGGAGCTTCAGCTCTCCTCTGGGGAGGGGTTTTTATAGATAGAGAGGTGAGTCGAGGGTAGCCTAGCCTCCCGCTTTACCGATTTCTCGGAATCGGAGGAAGATCTCTCATCTGCCTGAACAAGAAGGAGCTGTTCTCGATGTGAGATCAGCAGCAAAAGAAAGAAGAGGAATTGGATGCCCCAGAGCCGGATAAGCCTTGCCTTAAAAAAACACACACAACGGACCGGACACAAACAAAAGAAAGAAGAAAAAGGCCATGATGATATCCTATGTTCGTTTTCGCCCTGCCCCGATGATGCGCTCCTAGCTCGCGGAGTTACATACCAGAAAAAGAAAAAGAATCTCTCTATTGCTTTGAGAAGAGAATCGTTGGTTTGACCGACGTACTACGTGGGAAATACGAGATCTAGGCAAGCCGCTACATTTTCTTCCCTTGCCTCTTGAACGATGAAGAACTACTTATCTTCTCTTAGATAGCATCGGTTCGCATCTATGGTCAATCAATAGGTCCGCGGATCTATTCTTCTATACGATAAATCGCCATCTCGTAGCATCACCACGACACCGATTCTCGTTATTTTTCCGAGCCCCCCATGCCGTGACTTCGACTTTGAGTATGATGAATGAGTGGAAAGATCTTTCTTTATATAAGTCCCTTTCCGATCCAACCAAAGAATTAGTATATAAAATATATATTTTATATTAAAGGGTGCGAAGCAGCTGCAAGTCTTTTCTGAAAAAAGTCCCAGCTGCCCTATCCGAATCCCGCGAGTGACTAAGCGCGAGACGAGCCATAACATAAGGGGCGAATCCACTCTTCGTAGAATCGACCATAGATATCTTCTTTTTTCGGTATATTTGCATCAGGCCCCTACCTACTAGTAAGAAGGTGTCCCCGAAAGGGGACGAAACCTGTCTAAGATCCTGTGTGCGGCTTAGTAGCGCGTGAACAGAACACGTAGCCTAAGCGGAACTAAATATTCAACTAACCTATGACCCATTTTTAAAATCTACTATCAATAAACCATGTGTTAGGTTCTCGTTTCGGGAGATCTTGGAACATGCCCGTCGTGTGAATGCGCATACAAATAGGGTCACCCTCCGCCCTTTATTCGAATGGGGGTTTCTGCTTCCTTTCAACTTCGACGGGATGGGAACAAGCCAAATAGTAGTAAAGCCGATGGTGTGCCTTGAAATGCATTTTCATTCCTTTTGGGAGCCGGTCTGTGAGATTGAAAGCCCGAAAGAGTTAAGCTATCTGCTGCTCCTTAACTTGTTGGAGGTTAGAGCTCTTTGTTCGAAAGAGAGATCGATTTTTTGAATCTACAGAGACAGATATGTTTTTTGAACTGAGCCTGTTCCCGACGGCTGTTTAGGAGACTTGAATTCCTTTTGTAAGATAGCTCATGAGTGATCAAACCAGTTCCTGATTTCAGGAGTTTAGTAGTAGTCCCTTCATCTGAGTGGATGTAAGACTTCATCTTTGAGTTTCGGTTAGTAAGTAGGATGGTGGAAGGGGGCGAAACCCGCCAGAGGGAAGGCCGGGGTAAGGAAGTCTTGATTCAAGGGCTATGATGGAATTGATTGTTGTAAGAGTTGCCCCGTGGGAAGAGAATTTGTCGATTGTTTAGTTTAAGTTAAGTCAAGCAATCGCCGAGAAGAGTTTAGCAGGGAAAGCAGCTTTTGCTTTTAGGCTACTACTTTCATCGGGATTGGCTTAGTGTTCATTTTACCAAATCTTAGTACAAGGGAGGGAAGGCGACCATGGGGAGCTTTGGCTTTGGTTCGGTTTTCCGAGGGTGAGAAAAGAAAGATAGTATCAACAGACCAAAGGAAGACAACTGAGCAAGATAGATGCCACTAAACTAGCTGCTGCCATAAAGAGTGAAAAGATTTCGGAGTAGTTCAAATATAAGTAAACAGTTCAACTTATCCGGAAGGAAAGACTCTTTTTAAGCTTAAGAGAATGTCCCGGCTTAAGGTAGTGAAGTGAGCCATTAGCTCTGGGTTCCGCATCTAAAATCATTAGCTCTGCTAAGGAATCAAGCATCCAATCCGATAAGAGCATAAAATACGAATCACGTTCGAGACGGGAAAAATAGCGTAGTAGTAAAGGAATAGCCCACTTTCATACCCAAGGGTTGAGACTTTCCTTCTGATCCTAGTTCTTGGCACTGGGAGGAGTCTCTATCACCTATAGGGTAAGGAGCAATAGACAAAAGCTTCGATTCGATCTTATACTTCATCGGCCAGGAGGTGTCCATCCTCTTCCTCTTCAGATTTGCTTAGCCTTCCCCGAGAGGGCTGTGCTGACCTGCTATGAATAGAGTATGGTAAGATGGTGGCTCCTTGAGCGAAAGAAAGCGGTTATGAAACAGAAGACTCTTTGGCAGCGGTCATGTTCTCATTCAATGCCCCGTGGGAAAAGCGCAGAGACTTTCTCGATCGAAGCTTAGCCGATTCAGACCGCTTACCTCGCCTTTTCTTTTAATATAACTCATTTCCTTTTTGAAATATCGTAAGAAGACTTCGAAGGATCCCTTATTCCCCCCATGGTCAGGGTTTGGAGCCGTCGTCGCAACACACCGCCCTTACTTCTTCCTCGGCGACTTATAGCTTGCGGATTTCACAGTTCACGCGTCCCGAGAACCAGGTATCGAACTACAGCACCTAAGATCCCATCGTGTACCGCATTCAACTAGCTGCATGACTATCGAGGCAGCTCACCGCTATGGGAAAAAGAGCCTTTCATAGCGGTCTTACCTCCGTAAATGGCCGCCTCTCGTCGCCGTTGGCTCTCATACATAATAGGGGAGGGGGTGGACCTCTTTTTGAAGTCAACTCAGCCTTAGCTATTACCAGGGACTCTGCCATCGGCAGATATTCTAGCGCACCCTAAGACAATAGGCCTCGTGAAGATCTTCTGCCACTCCCTTTTTTGGACAGGTAGGTCTTTCCTGAGTCGGCACTCCAACGGTGATCTCTCACTATCACTTATGAAAATTATCCTTATTAATATTGGGCGGTGTCGACAAAATCTCTGACGTGGGACTAAGTCACTGCATATCTGGCCGATCACGGCTCTTCACATAGTGCATGATGCATCGCATCAGTACAAGCACTCGCATGAGTCCACTTCTTTACAAACAATAGTGCAGTAGCCGAGAGATATCTATTTTACTCGTCGTAGCCGTGGGAATGCGAACGGGAGCGAGCGGAGAGGGGAAGAAGAGACTCGTGAAAGTATGGGTGACTCTGGGAATGATGCCGATTCCCTCAACAGCTAGAAGAAGGGCATAAGGCATTAGAATGAGTAGTTCTTCGCTCAACAGCTAGAATAAGAGACTGTCTTCAGTCATTGTTCGCACGAATGAATGGTTCTTTCTTCAACAGGTGCAAGAAGGTAGTTTCTTAAGTCGACCAACAGGAGAGGAGGGAGGCTCATTTTGAAGGCTTAATAAATAGGTTAAGTGGGAGGTTGTTAGAAGTAGAGGATGTTGACTTGCTTGACTGGTATGGATGGATGAAAGGCCTAAGCATTATGGTAGAGTAAGGTTGTCCACGCTAGATGCCTTGGCTTCAAGTTGCTTGTTCTCACCGGGATAGAGGCTCACTTCGCTTGTGAATGAGGTTGTTTACTTATCTTACTCGACCCTAGGAACTTGGCCAAAGATGAGGGAGATATAGCTCTTTCTTGTAAGGTAAAGTAAGGTCTTCCGTTTGCTTCCTTGGCTGGCTGTTGGATTAGGCGGGAGAAGAGGTCTTCATAGAAGAAATAAGCTTAGCTCTAGCTCCTCCTTCCTTTGAATCCAGGAATTGATTTCAGTTTCTCGACTAGCAGGATAGGTGAGAGGCTTCTTTGTTTGATAGAATGCAAGAAGTCAGAAAGATAAGAATTCCTTGAGCGAAGCCAGAAAGAAGAGCAGAACAGAAAGAAGAGAAGTGAGTCTACCAATGAGACTTGACTTTCCTCAACAATCTCTAACTTAGCCGGTGGCATCCCATCCCCTTTTTGAATCTGTGAGCTCACAAGCTGCTGCACTCCGCTATTAGCACCATCCTCTCGAAGAACGAGCTTTAGCCTTAACTGCTCTGGTTCGATTGTTCCTGATCCAAAAAATAGAGTAGAAATTTCTTTCCCGGAAGAGTACTTTTCAGATTCAACCTTTCTTCTAGCTCCGATTCTGTGTAACCTATATGACTAATTGAGGACAATCTATCTCATCAAAATGAATTGCACATTGGATTCTCGATGTATTCGTCCCGGTCTAAGGAGAAAAAAGAAAAGTTTCATGTATAGGAAAGCTAGCCCCTCTTACTAATACGACATTATTGTGATGGATGCTCTTTCTCAAGTCTTGATGGAGGGCTTTGCACTTCGCGGTCTCACCTCTCACCTATAAGGTTTCCTTCTTTCAAACCGTTATATGAGAACTTGTATGGAAAAGGATTCCCGTCTTTTACATCTTGTCCGATAAGCCCCGAGAACGTCTGAGTTGACTCTGTGCCAAGTTTTGGTTATCGGTCATCATTTTCCGGCGCACATTCTTCAGTACTTTCTTAGTACTAGCCTCAGACGATCCATTAGCTGGAGCATAGTCAAAGAGTCCATGATCCCGAAATCGGCTGCAAAGGCTTCCATCTCCTGGCTAGTGAACATGGCTATCAGTGGTTCTAGTTTCAGGCAAGCAAAAGCGATCTATGATCCCCTTTTTCATTTTAATAAATCACATCGTTCGTGGTCTTTATCGGTTCAGCCTCTACCCAGAAAGTAATCGGTGGCTACAAGGGAAAAAGGCATGCTGCTGAGTGCACAAGTGGTCTATCTTGCTTCAAATCCCCATAGCCAAGCCCCGAAAAGGACAAGGAGAAATTTATGTATCGAATGAAGGTCTGATGATGGGACGTGCTCTATCGGTCCATGTCTCTAGCATTCTTCACATCCATTAGCATAGTTGATGCAATCGGCGAGAACACGGGGCCAGAACCCTGTCTTCTAATGAGCTATATCATCTTCTGGACTGCTTGGTGAGCACCGCATACTCCGTCGTGGACCTGCCACATTCTCTTCTTTCAGAGGCAGCCTTGCAAGCACTTCTTTCAGAGGCGCCTAGCAAGCACTTCCCCGACGATAGAAGACAGAAGAAAGCAGAAGAAAGTCTTGGATTCTAGGTGTCGAAGGATCGGTCAAAGATTGGCTGTCAAGAACGTAGAGGAGGGGCGTAGCGAAGAAGCGTAGCGGTGGGCTAGTCCCATTGACTTAGTGCTGTAAAAGGACCTACGACGATCCTCTACTTTTTCGCCCACTCTCCGGGATTCTCCCCAACTATCTACCTGTAGGTAGAGGGCTGAAAGTGCTCTGACTGGGCTATTTCCCTATTTATGGGAAGAATGTTATACTGGGATTTCACCCGTAATCATCGACCCCGATAGCTGTGAGAGAGTCATGTCCATGAGAAAAAGAGAAATTCTGGTATTGCATATATAAGAAATGAGAATTCTTACCATGCAAATTGGCCTTTTCAAGAATTGATATTTGAGAACTTGAAATAAAATAGGCTTTGATCGGTCAACGAAATGCTCGCTTCAAGCCTCGATATACCAGTATATTGCAAGCAGCGTGGGCAGATCGAGTTCAAAAGGTAATTGGGTTGATCCCGACTGATAGTCTCGATGGAGCAGAGGCCAAAGCTAGGATGGAGATGATTCAGAGACAGTTGGAACCCTACAATTTCATTCTGCGATTGAGTTTCTAGGCCAAGGTCCTCGGTGGTCTGTCGCCCTCCCTTGAAATGAGACAGCCTTTCGAAGAACCATCCGTTGATGCCTACTGTAGGGTACAACAAAGAGTAGAGCTAGCTATCCAGATAGCTGATCTTGGGCCATATACCGAGCCGCTGACTTAAACGAGCACTAGACCGCTCACTAATATATGGATTGACGAAAGAAGACAAACCCTAGACACACTGATTGTAAGTTAGTCTTCCGCCAACTATTGATGTTCACTCTTTTTTCCAAAAATGGAAATTCCATAGAACTCCTTCATAATTCTACACTGGCATCAACAACCACAAGGGCTTTTTGACCCTTCCTTTGTTACCGGGCATTCATACATTCTTCCGCTACCAGCAAATGTCGATATCGGCAGTCTACCTTATTAAGGAAATCGAGCTAACAAGAGGTTTGTTTTAACCCTTATTTAAGATGCCTTTCTCCTACCTCGCTGATATACAGCGAGTGAGCGGAGAAAGAGCTGTAGCACCGATGCAAGACCGATAGGCTTCGGCTCACTGTTCCGCGTGAGCTCCGGGTGGAAGCCGAATGTCATTCTGACAAGGAAGTACGCCACCAAGGCCGGAGTCACTAGGATATAGAAGGTAAGCCCTACACTCAAGGGTTGGGAAAGATGAGATTCCCTCTCCTCTCGCTGATGGTTTGAGAGTTGGTTGGCGAGACCCCGGAACGATGTATGAAAGAGACTAGCTATCGAAGTGGATGCTGCTTCTTATGAAAAAGCCCTCGATGCTGTGTGAAAGAGTGGCGGGGAATGACTGGGCTCAGGAGTCAAGTCAACATAGTGTGGAAAGTGGGGTCGACCTTCTAGTCCCTTGTAGGGAAAGAGAGGTTATCTAGGCAGATAGAGAAGGAAGTGCCAATAAACGATCGAGAAAGATCTGGCTCCTCAAGCCCTTCGCTTAAAAGAACAGGTGGACAAACGAACAAGCTACTATGAAAATAATTCGCGAAAGTCATTTCATTAGTTCAATTACTGCTCTAGAGTCCCGATATGAGCTTATTTGCCAGTCATAGTTAATTTATTTTAGATTTCGGCTCGCTAACGACCTCGGTATCCGATGTTACTTATAGTAGTAGTATCGAACGGATGAAAGAGATTGCTCCTCCAGCACTAAGGTTTTTTGATGATCTTTCGTCTATTCTCAAGGGCTAACAAAAATCTTAGTGGTCGGCTACAACCCATCTGCTTCGGCACATGAATCTAACTCTCGAAATGCCCTTTCTTTTGAATATCTTTCGATTCCCATTGACTTAGGCAAAGAGACCCCGCTCTATTGAATGAATCTGACTAGTTCTTCTCCGAGTATCTCTTCTTCACCGTTATTAATTAACTACTTGAATCAGCCCACGTAGCGGTATTAACTAAAGCATTTTAGAAACCGTGCTTTCGATGGCAAGGCCAGAACAACCAAGGGACAGGATTGATTTTCCAAGTTAGACTGCTGCTCGACCGGATATTTCACATGCTCCAATACATCATGATCAGTTCTTCGTTTAAGCCTTCTTCTTGAATATTCCTTTTCAAGTGCCCAGCCCTCATTTCACAGCTTGACAAGCAACTTGCGAGCCCTTTTTAAGCTTTTGAGGAAAAATCGGGATGACGATTGTCATCAAGCTTTCGATAAGATAAAACAAAGATTTCTCCAGCAGACTCCTCTAATCCGAGCAACTTTGGCAAAGAAAGGCAGCCTATATACTTTACAACAGAATCGGAAAAGACGCTTAACTGGAGCCGCATCCGAGTCTTCCATCATTCAGCTCTCAGGATAACGAGGTAAGCGTTGCCTTGTCTCGTTAAAATAATGAATTGAATTCTGTTGCCATACCAAGAAGTCAAATTCTAACTAAGAGCGTCGTATTCTAGCAACTATCATTAATCTCAAAGGAAGCAGATTCGAGAATCACTCGTCGCTTCGAAGCACTTCTATACCGCACAACTGACATACCGTCTAATCGAATCTAATCGGAACTACGATCGCACTTCACTTAAGATATTTCTGTAGTAGCGAGAATAGTCTGTAGACAGAAGAATTCCTACTAGGAAAGCAGGTCACAAGCAAGGAAAGAAAGGAACGGATAGCCATAGTATACTTTCTTAGCGAGTCAAGAATCTCGTCGGGGAAATCTTCTTTCTGCCAGCCCTGTTTCCCCAACCAAGTAACAAAGAAAGTAGAAAAAAGAAGAAGATCAGAAAGAAAAGAAAAAAATCATCATAGACTCTGAGGTCTCAACTTCACTCCTTGGGCGGGAAAGGAATCTTCAAGTCTTCGATTTCCAGCTTCTAGCAGCTCAACTCTATTTCAAAGGTGAGCAGCGGGCGCAACTGAACCTAACCGACTAGGCGCAAGTAGCTTTCAATCGACCCTCGTGAGAGCAGCGAAAAGGCAAGCTGAGCGCCGTGTGAATAAGTATTTTATATGACCACTTACCGGAGATGCTGCTTAGTAACGGGCGTAGATCAACGTCAGATAGATCCTCGTGGGGTTACAGGGAGAGGGAAAGGGTTTCAAAAAGAAAGGAAATACCGAAAGTGCAAAAAGGTGCGAAGCGAGAAAGAATTCCTTACTTGGGGTGAGGAGTTAGACATTTAACGAAAGAAGGAAATCGCCCTTATACGACTTCTCCCACTTCTCTTATAAGGTAAGCTTAGTCATATACGGATTCTTAGTTCTCCTTAGAATAAAAAGACAAGGAAAAAACCGCGCAAGCATAGCAGAAAGATAGCAAGTAGCTGAATGCAACAAAGAGCCGAGTATACAATGCCCAACGGTTCATGCCCCGTATTGCAAGCCGGCCTAATTACGACCAAAGCGCTGTCGCACCTCTACCATTTTCGGCGTAACGAGGTCCTTACTCTTTCGAGTAAGCAAGCGCTACGCCCCTTTGAAACTATCTCAAATAGGGTTCTAGCAGAGACCGCTGAAACTCGTGTTTTAATGCCCGCCGTACTGCTGCATGTAGTAAGGACTTTTCGGGGTGTAATGGAATACATTGAGAGAGGCATATTCATATGTTATCCCAATAGTCACGATATTCATCGCCTCTGTTAGGAATAGCAGGCAATCTCAGATCAGGATAAGGATTCGCATGCGGACAATTCGATGAGGACGATTTCTTGCAGAAAGAGAAAAGGGATACCAGACGATTGGGGATTGATTAGATGCGGACGATGATTTGGCAGATGAGAAGGACGATTTGAGAGCGAATCCGCCATTAATTACTCTTTTGAATGAAGGTTGCTCTGCTTCCACAGCTATTGAATCAGCTGTTGGCATATCAGCTCTTGTGCACTCATAAGCTCTTGGGAGAGTCCAAAGAACTCCATTCTTTTCTTTTTACGAATAAGCTCTTTCCGCTTTTCATTCCTCATGCACTGAGAAGTAGCAAAGCTTTCCTCATGCCAGCGTTCAGTTCCTATTGAGGAAGATCTGCCATTGCTTTCAAAATGAATCTCAGATGTCGGAAAGAAAGAAGCAGATTGAATGCCCGGACTGTGGTATCGGAAAGCAAAAGCACTTTCAAGAGATCCTAGGCCGAAAGCCATTTCTCGATAGTTTAGTGAGCCCCTAGTACCTTAATCAGAGAGCTTGAACACGCTTTCTGCTTAAATAAAGATTGCCATAGAGACGACTGATACTGATACAGACAGGGGACAACTCTTTTGAAAAGAAAAGGCAACTGTGCAAGAAGAAAGAGAATTAGCAGAAATCGAAAGGGACCGCTCTGATACCTCCTAAAGCGAAATAGACACGCGCACAGGCTCTTTAAGACCTGAGTCGTGCGGCCCCAGGTGCTACACTACAATAGGCCTGGGTTCTCTCCTTGCCGAATTTCGCTTCTGATCTTTCTCTGAGTCTCTATTTTTCCTCTCAGCTATTTCCAGAAGTATACGCACAAGATCTCTGATGAACAGTGCCTCTGGAAATAAGATATTGAGAGAATTCCGTGGACATGTATTCTCCTCCGGCGTCAAATAATTTTTTTGCATTGAAAAGTCTGGCTTGTCGATTGTTCGTCCAGGGGAGGTGAAAATTGGACGGTTCATGCTGGCGAGATCGCCTATTTCTTTCCTCACATGAATCATGAATGAGGGGGGTAGAGCGGCTCTTTCTCACGACTAGGGGGTTCTAGACTAGATAGGAAAAAAGAAGCGGAGCGCTCTTCCAAAAGCCCGTTCAAACTCCTCCGTTAGAATCCCTACTGGGAACACACACGTTCTCTTGTTGAGGGTTCGGAGGAGGTATATTATGTCACTTTCGATCCGACTT